TGGATTCTTCAGTTTCTAGGAGTACAAGTTTTTCAGGTAGTTACTAAATATCTTAAGGATTTTTTGTGATTTTGCCTTGTTTCTTTCTATGTGCATTAATATGAGTCCTTTTTTAAGTAAGATTGGCTAAGGGTTTGTCTGTTTTGTTTTTTCTTTCAAAGAATCAGCTCTTTAATTCATTTTTGTTTCAATTTTATTAATTTCTGCTCTAAGATTTAAAATGTCCTTCCCTGTAATAACTTTCAATTTTATTGTTTTTATTTTTATAGGCTATTGAAGTACATCATTAGGTTATTCATCTGAGCTCACTTTGTTTTTCTGAAGTAGGCACCGACAGTTATAAACTTTACTCTTAGGATGACTGCTTTTATTATGTCCATAAGTTGTTGAATATTGTACTGGCATTATTGTTTGATTCTAGGAGCTGTTTAATTTCCTCCTTATTTCTTCTGTCACTCATTCATTATTCAGGAGTGTATTGTTAAATCTCCATGTGTTTGCATAATTTCTGTGTTTCTTTTCTTGCATAATTTCTATGTTGACTTTTAGTTTTGTTGTAATATGATCTTGTAATACACATGGGCAATTTTCAGTTCTTTTGTATTTATTTAAGCATGCTTTATGGGCTATTATGTCTGTTTTGGAAAATGTTCTGAATGCTTCTGAGAAGAATGTATGTTATGTTAACTTGGTGTGGAATACTATAAATATCTGTGAAGTCCATTTGTTTGTGGATGTGGTTCAAATCTGATATCCCTTTGTTGTTGTTTTGTTGTTTTTTTATTTAAAGAAAAAAAACAGATAAAAGGGTATAAACAATACAGAATTTCAGAAAAGTAAACAGTAAGAAATCACCAGTCAATAAGTTACTTACCGTCATTTTAGAAATAGTTTTTCGAGTTACAAAATTAAAGCATACAAAGTGATATTCAAACAATGACACAGCAAACAGTTCTGCTCAACGATCCAACAAGAACTTAGTAACATGGTATCAGTTCTACACACTTGTTTTTTACTTAAAGAGGGTAAGATTAAACATAACAAAACAGAACAAAACAGTTTATAAGGAAACAATTTAAAGAAACATAGATTTCAAAGCAAGTCCACTGGAGATCTTCACTGTATCTTATTTTATCTAGTTTTCTTTCAAATAGTTGTCCCCCTCTTCACACACATTGAATATATACTGAATATTATAGAACTAATAAAATCATTACAGGATGATGAAGGCTTTTTGGGTCTTCAAGACCTGATTTTGGGGAAGTCAATAATGTCTACCATAATGTTTCTCAGTCTCTTCATAGTAGCTGTCTTTATCTTTACATATGCTGAAATTGAACATAAGAGACTAGACTAATATCACTCTGAACAGTGAATGATAGTATTGCTAGATTTCATATCATAATGCTACAGCATTAGCACTGGGTTTCTTAGTGTCTCTTCTTCAGAGCATCCATTCATTACATCATGTATTATATAATCTGTTCCCATAAATAGTTTAGAAATTCTTCCCATGTGTGAATCTCTACATGTATATCTATCCTTTCTGCATAGGACCGCAATATTAGGTTATCTACAGTAGTTACTATGCTTTCTCTTGTTATTTTCAATAGAATTATCCACATTATCAGACATAATATAATTGAATTTAACATTACATAGCTATTTTATTAAAAACACAACTTTGAAGATATTGTAGGACTTGAAAGCAGTTAATAATCAAAACCAGAATTGATACCTTTTACATCTTATCATCTTCAGATTAGTTGTCTCCACTCCCAGACTTGATACTATCAAGGATACTATATTCAAATGAAATCAGTCAAGGCTAAACAGCGGTCTAACAAACCAGCTTCAAATAAGATCAGTCATAGTAAGACAATGTAAGTAATACAGGATTTCAGTGTAAGTTAATAGGAAATTAAGGATAGTTACCATGGTATAACTTGCTATTTTTGGGTTAGCTGTCTGTGCCCTCAAATCTAAATCTGGGTAGACAGACTGGAACAAAATATAATCAAACTAAACAGAGCGATAAGACTACCATGACTTTTAAATCCTGATACACTATTAACAATGTCCTTTGCCTTCCTTTTTTAGACAGTTCCTCCCTTTTCCCTTTCTCAGGGTGCTTTGTATGTTTTGGGTCCCACTAGCTCTTTTAGTTTTTAGATTAGGGGGCTAACTTGTTACCTATCTGAGTGTTGCTAAACCTTTTTACCCCTGAGCTTGATCTTGAGCTGTACTCCTTTACTTACTAAAGTTACAAGGTTGTCCTTCCTTCCAGCTGTGTAATTCTACACTGCCCAATGATATCCCTTTGTTAATTGCTTTGTTTAGTTATCTATTTGTAGTAGTGAAGTATTGCACGCATTCATTACAGTTGTGTTCATGTTTATTTGATCTTTTATATCTAGTAGTATTTACTTTATAAGGTTGGTTGTGACAGTTTTCAGTACATATATATTTATAATTCTCATCTCTTCCTGCTGAATTGTTTCCTTAACCAATATAAAATGACCTTCTTTGCTCCTTCTGACCAATTTTGGTTTTTAGTTTACTTTTCTGAAAATAGAATCACTACTTCTGCTTGTTTATAGGCTCCTGTTGCATGAAATATTGTTTTCCATCCTTTTTTTTAATACTATGTGAATTTCTTTTAGGATTAAATGTATTTCTTGTATAGAACATGCTGTTAGGTTTTGTTTTTTGATCTAACCTGCCTATCTTTTGATTGGAGAGTTGTGACCATTCATAATGAGTTTTTACTAGAAGATATTATCTTATTCCTGTTATTGCATTATTTTCGTGTTGCTTAGTCCTTTTTTTCTCCTGCTTAATTAATCACCCTGCCTGGTATATTCACTAAATTAGACTTTTTTGGCATTTTTATCTCTGTTGTTCCTTTCTAGGAACTCCTCTGGAATTATTTGAAATGCCAGTTTGGTGAAAACAAATTTCTAAAGGTGCTATTTGTCATTCTAAGTCCTTATTTCTCCATCTGTTTTGGAAGATAGTCTTGCAGGATATATCATTCTGGGTTGGAAGTTATTGTCTTTTAGAATTTGAAACACTTAATTCCAAGCTGTCAGGGCACTGCATGTTTGTTTTGAGAAGTCTGTTGTAATTCTAATGGATTTACCTGTATAAGGGATGTACTTTTTTTTTTTTTCTAACTGTCTTTATGATTCTGTCTTTGTGATGAACTTCTAAAATTTTGGCTATGATGTGTCCTAGAGATGTTCTTTTTGTTTGTAGCTACAGTGATACCTTGGTTCAAGAACTTAATTTCCTCCACAATTCTGGAAAAGATGGCCATGTGTGTGTTCGTGTGGGAAAGATGGCTGTGATTGTATTCATCACCCAGTGCAGAGTTTGCAAAGAAAAACAAAATTTTGCAAATTTCTGTTTGTGAACCAAATTGTTTGCAAATAAAAGCAGTTATGAACTAAAGTATCACTGTATTTGGGCTTCTATATGCCTCATTTGTCTGCATGTTAAATTCTTTCCCCATACTTGAAACATATTGTGCTATAATTTCTACAGTTTTTTAAATGCAATGTATGCTATTTCTATTTACACTAATTTCAGTTCATCTTAGAGTGGCCTTCTTTGAGTCATGAAGAAGCTGTTAGATTCATGTTTTATAAAATATTTTTGTTATTGAGGTATTTTTGAATATGTAGTCACCTGCATCAGCCCTATATTTTACTGAGGACAGTCTGTCCTCACATTGGTCATCTGCTGCTCACACTTTCAATAGAAATTTTAATCTGCTGGATTTCTCTTTGGTACCTGTTCATGGCCTTTATTTCTTGGCTAAAATGGTTAATCATGGTGTTTATTAAAATCATTTTGTTTAGCTCAGCTAGCATTTTATTTGTTCCTCCTAGAAACTCACTGATCATCTTGTTTATTAAGTCCATTGTTTGTTTAGTTATATCATATTTGAGCTCACCAAGCACCTATCAGGCCCTATGATGGGTTCCGAGGCATGTACAGTTGAATAAAAAGACGTCTTCAAACATCTTTAGTGTCATTTGCTCCAGGTCATTATGATTAAACTTTTCCAAATTTAATCAAGCTTAAGAAATCTGACCATAACTATTTACAGCAATGTTGAGGATTTTGATTTTAATTTCCTTAAATAACAATTGGTAGTATTTGTCATTTCCAAGCACATTAATTTCTATTTTTTTCTGGTTGAAAAGAACAGAGTAGGATGAATAATTTAATGTTAGTATGACAAGCATTATTATTAATTAAAAATTTTTATGTATGTGGATATTTTGATTTGCATTTGGAACTTGTTTGAAGTCACAAAATTTGCAGCAAATTCCAGTTTTGTGTGAAAGATTTCTGAATCTAAATTGCTTTCCTGGTCACAATAACACATGTCATCTTTTGGGAACAAGTAAATGGCATTGAGTCAATTCAGAGGTGCAGGTGGTTGGTTCACACTATTGTTGTAGCAAAACATTCCTAGTAGCCCAAGTATTCCCCACCTTTCTACTTCAGCTTCAGTGCTGGTCTTTCTCATGCCTGCCTCATGGGTATTGTCCTTGCTCTGAAGAATGATGAGTTTTCTAACATCCATGGAATAAAGATATGTATAAATATTTTAGAGGATGTGTTCATATCAAAGCTTTGAGAGTTCTAGCATTTAAATATACTAGATGCTTACTACAGGTTTATTGATGATAAAAGATAGATAAAATTAGTGTACTGTATCTTAGTGTTGTCTTATTGCATATAAAGTTTTTAAAAAAGAAACTTCCTGCTGATTTTATTTTAAAGTAAAAAGATGAGTGCTTTCACTTTTTAGTCTAAAGACTAACAAGATACAATATGTCAAGTTTATCTTTGTGAATATTCTTAAAAGGAAAAACATATTGCTTTTGTTTATCTTTCTTTACTGCTTCATACATAAAATAGTGGAAAATAGTTATAATTGTAATCAGATTTTCTCTTAAATACTTTCAAACCTTGTTTTTGTCTAGAAACTGGTGTGCCCAGTAAGTGTCCTAGTCAGTGGTGGCCCTATGCAGGCCACTGTTACAAGATTCACAAAGAAGCAAAGAAAATCCAGAGAGATGCCCTGACTGCCTGTCGAAAGGAGGGTGGAGACCTTGCAAGCATTCATACCATCGAAGAATTTGACTTTATCATCTCCCAGCTAGGATATGGTGAGAAGCTAGAAACTGTAAATATGCTTGGTTCTAGTTCCTTCTCCTCCCCACCTATGTCTGGAAAATTTAATCACAAATATTAAAAACTGAATTTGCAGTATAAATTTAACAACAGATGTTAGTCATGGCTGTGGTGTGAAGATTGTATAAATTTAGTGATTTAGTTTTCTGTTAATATGTAATAAATTCATGGGTAGTTTTAGAAGATTTTTCCACATATAATGTAGATTCAAAGATATCAACTCTATACTTAGCAAAATATTTAACTTTTTTAATTACTTGCATGTATGTGTGCATTTTTGAAAATTAAGGTCCATATTTTATCTCCTAAGAAACATCTCTAAATGAACCAGCTCACACATTTTGGACTTACTGTTAATCTGGCTCCTGCTGCTAGTGTGTTGAATTGTGAAAGAAATAAGACATTCTTTTTGTAATGGTTAGGTGTCGACCTTTTAAAGTAATATAATAGAAATGTAACACTCTACATATATAATTTTAAAAATACTTAGCTCAATATTCTGCATGTGGTCATCTAATTTTCCCAGAACTATTTTCTCCAGCACTATTTTCCCAGGACTTTTCCTTCATTGTGTGTTTTTGGCCTCTTAATATAAAAGAGTTAAAGTTCTTATACTGCAGTAATGCATGCATACACATTGTAATAGCCAGATCTTGGAAATGGCTCATATGCCTATCAACAGATAAATGAATAAAGAAAAAATGTGATATCTAACACACAATGGAATACTGCTCTGTCATAAAGAGGAATAAACTTCAGGCATTTGTAGGAAAAATGGATGCACCTTGAGACCATAATGTTAAGTGAAATAAATTAGACACACAGCTCAGTATCACATGGTTTCTCTTATATGAGAAACACAAAGTATAAAGAGTAAAATCCAAAAGAAATAATAGGAAGTAGGGAAATCATTCTCAAGGAGAGAGGGAACCAAGAAATGGAAGGATGAGGAAGGAAAGAGAGGAAAGGGGGATGAGGAAAAAGAATTGAAGAAAAAAATGGAAATAGAGCCTTTGTAAGCGAGAATAGACCAAGAGCTGGAAGAAGCAGGGAGAAGTGGGAAGGGTAGAGAACAACAACAACAGAGAGAACTGTGTTGTGTACTGGGACCAACTCCCTGTGATAAATGTAATCATTATGTACTGCAAACATTTATTCTAAAAGAGAAATACTTGGAAAATGTACTGTCCAGAAATACAAGAACAGATGAGTGGCATGAATTGAGAATACATGTCCTAAAGAAGAGCAGGCTGAGAGGCATCACTGCGATCATGGGCTCACTGTATCACTTGTTGATGAAATGATTACAGTTTCCATCTCTTAGTGATGCAGCTGCTAAATTGCTGCAGCCATCCTTCATTTCCACCCAGCAAAACAAGAGGAAATGGATGGTGTGGTCATAGAGGAGCCAGCTTCCTGACACACAGTGCCCAAAAATTGATGGGGCACAGGGGAGCCATTAACAAACTGGTGAGAGAAAAACAGCAGTAGCAAAAAAAAAAAAAAAAAACATTTAATTTTGCAAGCCCTCCCCACCCCCAAATTTCTGCTCTTTGTTCCTGTATCCAATGGTCACTGTCCTCCACTGTGCACCCCAGTGAGCACAGTATGGAGAAAACAGCCTGCTGCAGCCTATCAACAATTTCATAATTATTCTAGGTGTCGTTAGTGTGGGAAAATCAGACTAAGCAATAATGTAATCACAGTGGATATATCAGAATAACAGTTACTTAAGGTTATCATGACACTTACTATAGCTAGTCAAGCTTTGAAATGAGTCCGTGGAAAAACGTTAGTTAAGATGTAAAAGACTAGAGTACAAATCTTGCTCACTTTATATAACATGACATAGTGATAAAAGAACCATATGTCTTATTGTTTAGTTATTTTGAGGAGTTGAATGATGAAGAGTAGTCTGAAATTCAGCTTGAAAATATGTAAAGGGGGTGGAAGGTGGCAGATTGATAAGTAGCAAGGTAAAGAGCCTCTCTGAGAGAAATAGCTTAGATGCTAGAATTTAACATCATGGAGAAGATCAGATGAAAGGAGAGGGATTCTCATGACCCAGGAAGAAACTAAGAAAAAAGAAAAATATGGATAGAAGGCTGGAGCCAGACACGCTCTCACCAGAGCCAGTCCCATGCTCTGCTAGGTGCCACTGGAGTCCGACAACTTGTGGTCACATGAAGTTGGGGGTTGGCGAGCCCAAGGACCTCGGCGGGAGGACACGTCACAATGGAGAATAGAGCTGGTGTGCAGATCTGCACTGGCCGGTGGTGAGTACCCGGAATTTGGTCCTCCCATGGGAGGGGGTAACTGGTTGAGCAACATTTTGGAATAGGGCAGGACGGGCCTGAACCTGGAACCATTTCAGCTTCAGTTAGCCATTCCTGGTGCAGAGAAGATTGGTAGGAACTGCCTGGACTGGATCCCGCCCCTGTGTGGGACCCAATAGCCAGGGATGAAGTTGCACCTGAAGCTGTCCCGAACTGGTTCCATCTGCATGGCACACACTAATGTGGTAAAAACCCTCAGTGGTTGACTGGCTCGGAGTGAGGGGCCAGCCTGCACTGCCCCTGCTTATACATCAGTGATCAACAGCAAACTGGAGAGGGCAGCAATCCCCAGCCAGCATGCTTCCGAGTAATTGTAACCAATACAGAAAGGGCCTGGGACATCCGCTATATGCTTCTCTAGAAGAACCAGAAACATGACAAGAGAAAGAAACAACAACAACAAAAAAAGCCAACCAAACAATATGGATCCAGGAGAGGTAAACACAGAAGAGATGGAGGCAGCAAACCTACAATATTGGAAGCAGCATCAGCTGATATAAATATCTTTGTGACATTATAGAAGAACTCAAAACAGAAATACTAATACAAGTAAAGCAAGATATAAGATAGATTAATAAAAGAAATGCTAAGCACGTCTCAGGAAGACACAGATGGAAGAATTGAGCACAGAAAAAGGAGACAACCCTTCAATTAAGAATATAAAAAAACCTAGAATACATGAAACTGATTCAGAGACATAGTCAGGAAATTAAAAACTCCCTTGAAAGCTGGCAAAACTGCTTGAAAGAAACTAAAGATAGAGTATCAAAACTTAAAGACGAGTTTGCAATGTGTGATCACGAAAGGAAAGATCTCTTAAAAATTAACAAGGAAACAGGAAGTAACAATACAAAGGCTAGAAAACGACAAGAGGATTTATAATTTAAGAATAAAAAATGTGAGTGAAGAAGCAGGGGTAAACACAAAGGAAATACAAAGACTATTCACAGAAATAATTAAGGAAAACTTCTAAGCATAGGAAAAGGAATCAATATTCAGATGTATGAGGCATACAGAACTCCAGCCAACTACAACCAAAACAGATCTATACTAAATCATATAATAATCAAGATCCCAGAAATTCAACACAAGAATAAAATATTAAAAGCTGTTAGAGAAAAGAAACAGATCACTTATAAAGGAAAACCCATCAAAATCACAACAGACTGCTTGACACAAATCATCAAATCAAGAAGAGCTTGGAGTGAAGCATTCCAAGCCCTGAAAGAAAATAACCTCCAGCCCAGATTGAAGTACCCTGCAAAACTATTTCTCAAAATTAATGAAGAAACAAGATGACAAAGAGGAACTGGGGGAGTTCGTGACCACCAATCCAGCCCTACAAAAACTACTGAAGGACATTCTAGAGAGAGAGAAAAAAACCACCAGGATTTCAGGAACAGTGGCAGAGAGACCTCAATAAACGGGGCAGACAGTGGAATGAAGGGGAAAGTAGGCAACCAAAAAGGCAGAAAAATAGCATGGCAGAGATGAGGCAGAGAAGACTGGCTATAATCTCTAACATACATGGCCTTAATGCACAACAAAAGAAACACGGGCAGAGTAGATCAGGAGATAGGGTCCACTGAGATGCTCTGTATAGGAAATATAATCAACCTGAAAAAGGGTTTGTGGACTGAAATTCAAAGAGAAGAAAATAATGCTCTATGTGACAGGGAACCAGAGAGAAATAAACTCTTCAGAGTAATTGTACCTAATACAGAAAGGGCCTCATACTATCAAACATAACAGATTTGAATAGAATCAGTCTATTCAAATCTGTTCGAATAGAGAAATAGGGGTAGCTAGTCCAGCAGCTACAGATAGATTGGAAAGAAATAATACTTTTGTGTAGTGGAGAACTACTCAGCTAGAAGGAAGGCTTTTGTAGGTAAAGGAATACAACTTAAGATCAAGCTCAGGGGTAAAATGGTTCAGAAACACTTAAGTAAATAGCAGGTTGCCTCCCTAATCTAAAAACTAAAGTTAGTGGGATCCAAAATGTACAGTGCTTCCTGTGAAAGTGAAAGGGGAGGAATTGTCTAAAAAAGGAAGGCAGAGGACATTGTTAATAGTGTATCATGATTTAAAACCCACATTTTTCTCATCACTTTGTTTAGTTTGGTTATATTGTGTTCCAGTCTGTCTACTTGTACTAGATTTGAGGACACAGACAGCTGTTCCAAAAATAGCAGAATATACTATGGTAACCATCCTTAATTTCCTTTTAAATTAATCTGAAGCCCTGTACCACACTGTCTTCTTGTGACTGATCTTATTTGAGTCTGGTTTGTTAAACTGCTGTCTTGTCTTGACTGATTCTATTCGAATCTGTTATGTTTGATAGTATCAAGTCTGAGGGTATAGGCAACTACTCTGAAGAAAATAAGATTCACTAGGATACCTATTCTGGTCTGACTATTACCTGCTTTCAAAGTCCTATAATGTTTCCAGTGTTTTGTTTTTATTGATACTGTTCTGTACCGCTATGTTCAATTTTACTATGCCTGATGATATAGACAATACTATTGAAGATAACAAGAGACAACATAGTAACCATTGTAGATCACCTTGTATTGTGCTTTTAATCATGTGCTATGTGTATTCCTTTGTTTTGAATGACCCCGTTTTGTTTTCTTTCTCATTTGGTTTTGTTCTTTTCAAAATTAAAAAAAAAAGAATATATGTAAATGAATCAGAAAAACTTCCATTCTTAAAAAGGATTTATTAAAAACTAATATATTTACAGTATATTTGTTATATTACAATGTTATAAATGCTTAAAATAATCTTGATATAGGTAAAGAAAAGTTGTGAAATTAAGATTATTGCTTCTAGATCAAAAGCCTTCAAAAGCTTGTTTTATATTAAATCATGGAAATATATTGCAAGTATTTGTATATAAAGTGCCTGCACACAAAGCTGTGTTGTTTACCCACTAACACAACTTCCTGAATGCATTTGTAAAAATCAATCTAAAAACTTGACACTCACTTATTAGGTACTTTTGTAGAATTAAGATTGCGTTTAGGCATTACAAACTGTGTAAGAGGAGAACAGTGTAGTAGACTACACTACAAAAGATATGTAGACTGTTAATATTTTATTATTTTACATTGGTCTTCCACCAAAATCCTTGAGGGGCACATGAGGTCTCTCTGAAGCTTATGTTTGTTGCTCAGAAGATCCTGATCTGCCAACTCACGTGAAGGGAAGGGGATCATGCTGGCAGTGTCACTCATGTTTCACGACACTGGAAACATCTGCTGGAGTTGGCATGAGGCCAGCCTGGGACTTCTCCAAAAGCAAAGTTGAGTGACAGCTTTTAGGAGGAAAAAGTTAAATGACTTAGACAAATTACCATCTAACTTGTTTTTTTGCATTTCCTACCAAATATTTTTATGACCCTTGAAAGTCTCATTTTACCATTGAAAGATCATACATTAAACTGTTATGGTAGGTTCCCAGTCATGCAAATTAAGTAGATATTGAATTATATTTTCTTTAGTTTTTAAATTTGGAAATGTTATTTTTCCAGCCCTGAGATCACAGATTTTTTAATCACTGTACTTTGTCTCATTTTTGTTGTGACATTTAAAATTTTTCCGGACTGTAACTACTTACCAATAATAATGTTCTTCAAGTATTTCATAACAAAATAATCACATTTTAAATCCGTATGGTTTGTTTTGATTTTAACCTTGCTATTTGCATTTTGTTGGCATTTTACCGTTTTTTTGTGAAAGTTACAGATTAATTTATATCTGTAGACAAATAAATGCCAACTGTTAGAAGTCAATCTATGTGCCTTAGTTTATTGTTCTTTTACTTTTAGATCATTTTCAGCCCTAATAGAGTTATCAAACTTTAAAGGAAGCATTTAGAATGTACTTGATAGCAACAGTGAATAAAACTAAAGTGATTTTAAAGTTGTTTTAAAGCACTAGTAAGACTTAGTAGGCATCAAGTAGATTTCTATAAACAGAATATTGTATTTACAAAAATATGAGTGTGATTGGCATGATAAACTTATTTGTAACAACAATAAAAATAAACCAACTTCAAAAGAGAGCTGGTAATAATCCATTTAGCTTGATTTCATTTTCCCAAATCTCAGGAGATATAATTTGTAATAGTGCAACCAAAAACAAAGTCATGCTTATAATACAGAGAAAACATTGCACAACCTAAATTTGGTAACATACAATGTAGTGGCCAGGAGCCTCCCACATGTAGACCAGTGGAACTCCTGAGAGAGAGAAGGTTAACTCTATGGCAGTTATGGTGTCAAAGGAGGGTTCTGAAAAAGAGAGCCTTGCTTTCTGGATGCCCTGCCAACCCTGGAAAACACCCTTTGTATATACTGCTTCTGTTTTTTTGGTGTTTTTGTTTCCTGTTTAGAGCCAAGTGATGAGCTTTGGATTGGCTTAAATGACATCAAGGTTCAAATGTTCTTTGAATGGAGCGATGGGACCCCAGTAACATTTACCAAGTGGCTGCGTGGAGAACCCAGCCATGAGAACAACCGGCAGGAGGACTGTGTGGTGATGAAAGGCAAGGTGAGCAGCCCCAGTGTTGTCTCGTCCAAGACACCAGGGGGGTCTCCTTATGTCCCATGTAGGGTATCTGTTAGTTGAGATTGGTGTGACTTTAAGTAAATTGATGTAAATCAAAGAACTGATTTAGTTTTGGTTCCTTTAGACTCTTTCAGTTGTCTTGCGAAATCAGAATGTCAAGATCATTTCCAAGACAGGAAACAGAAACATTTGATTTAAGGATAAAATTAAGCTATAACCATGACTCACATTATTCCTATTTGGTTCTACCTTAACCTGGTTGCTCTGAGGAGATACAGACCTAGTTAGAACTGTTCTACACCTTGGAGTCTGTACTTGTAGAATTACATTTGATTTTTCAGTTTACTTGCAAGTGTTGCATAAAATGATTGCATCCATGTCCCTAATATGACCATAGTGTTGCTAAGTGTATGTCGTGGTTAAGAAGCTAGGTTTTGCTTCCTGACTTCTTCCTTCATTTGTAGGGTGGGGCTAGTCATTTTACCCAGCTCCTATGTAGGTGTAAGGATTAAATGGCTTAGTGCAAATATCATAGACAGCTCCCAATCTAAATTTGCTATACAGTAAATATTAGCTATTTCTTTCATTGTTTCATCATGATTGATTGAAAACTGAAGAAATGAGCAGATGTCAAGGGTAGGTAGAAGAAACCAGAGAGAGTCATTCTAGTAAAGAACTGAAAAGAGACAGAGTTAGGAGGGTCAGTGGCTAGGGTTTGAAGTGTTGAAGAGAAAGAAGCAAGTGTTATGTAAAGGATGTAAATGTATGACCTTCTATTAGGTCCTTACAGAAGTCAAATTCAGAGACAGAGTAGAATGTGATTGCCCAGGAGTTGGAAAAACAAAATAGAAAGTTGTTGTTTAATAGGTAAAGAATTTCACTATAGGATGAGGAAAAAGTTCTGAAGATGGCATTAGTTAACAACAATTTAATGTGTATAATGCAAGACAAACTGGATACTTAAATAGTTAAGTCATAGGCATAAAAAAGAAGAATAAAGCAAAGTGTTATTATTTAGGGAGTGGAACATCAAATTTGTAATTTACATGTTATACTGATTGGAGAATTGACTACTACATTCTGTAGTCTTTCTTCTGTGAGTCATAATTACTAGAAAATGGCATCAAATTCAAGGAACAAATAATCATGTTTCCCTTGGTTTTCTTCAGGATGGGTTCTGGGCAGATAGGACTTGTGAGCATCCACTTGGTTACATCTGCAAGATGAAAGCCCAAGCCCAAGCTCCTGAAACAGTGGAAGAAGAAACAGGCTGCCAGAAAGTAAGTACAGAATGTGTACAATGACTTAAGATTCACAGATATTCTTGGATGCATTTGGTTACATATGAAAAATGCGTTGTTATCATCAGTTCTAAATATTTCTGCTGGCCAAACGCTTCATGATTTATTGTTTGGTGTCACAGTTCTCCTTAATTGAGCTTTTCCCAGGAATTCTCTATGGCTAATATGGGGGGTACACATGGTCAGGAGGGCCATTCAGAATGTCATAAGAACTGGAAGACAGAACAAAGAATAGAGTGACACCCTAAATGGAACTTGGAGAGATGATGAGACAAGGCAGGTTGTGGGAGAAGAGTGGTGCCTAGGTGGGTTACAAAGAACATTCCAGTACATAACCCACGTTCTGATAGTCAGCTATCTTTGGACTTTTTCCCCATTTTTAGTATTCTAAAGGAACTTTGTTCTAGAAGAAAAGCTCCTCAGTAGATCAGTGCGAGAGGAAGCAGGAAATCTGGATTCCACCTGGGCCCAGAGTGACTCAGTTATACTGTCTCACAAGCCTGCTGTGCCTCATCTTCCCCAGTGACTGTAACACCTCCTGATGTGTCCTGAGGGAGGCTTAAGCAGATTGTCTGTAAAATAATTTTGAAAAGCACAAAGAAACTACAAAAATAGTTTTGCAGGTTTATGATTATTATTTTCCTGTTTGATTGCTGAGTTGCTCATCTTCCTCTTTTGTCCTTTCTCACTTCTCTTGAATAAAAGTGAAGTAGAAACTAATTGTCTCTTCCCAAGAGTGAAATTGTGGTCACATCACTTTATAACAAACACCATGAGGCTATGAATTTGTGAAAAATAATTTGGTACTGTACAAATAAGCCATAAAGAAAAATTAGAGCAGAGAATAGCAAATTATAAAATGTTGGCAATATGAAGGATCTTAGCAATGGTCAAAATTCTTTATCTAATTTTTGCTTCTGAAAACTTCAGCCTAAAGAAGCTGCATAGTATTAGAGTTAAAAACAGGTGAGACTGGAACCCTTTTCCCCTGTACCCAGGTCAGCACAATTGCATGTTCTTTGCCTAATCCTCTGCATGTACAAGGGATTGTATGTTATTACTGTTTGCTAAAATAGTAAATGTATTCCTTCTACATAGATTATTTGTATCTTTTTCCATTGTCACATACTTACCAACCTCTGATAGGAACCCAATTTAATCATTAGGATGGTAATGAGAACAATAACAGCAGCCATTGTCAAGTCCAGGTATTATTATGTTCTTATAAACTTATAGAAGAATTGTCATAGTCATAATTAGAAGAGGAACTCAGACTTGGTGAAATTATATAATTTGGCCAATTTATAAATATCTGCTATGAATAGTACCTTTCTCAAAGGACAAAAAGATAAAAGAGAAAAACTACTTACTTACTTACCAAAAAAGATAAGGAGAAAAACTACTTACTTACCAGCAAAGGAAGATAACAAGGCATATATTTTGTTTGAGCGTATGTGGTGTAGTGGTCTTTTTCAAAGTTCAAAATCACAAGCCTGTTTTCATACAGATTTGTGATTCAACTTTCTCGTCAGTGCTATCAGATCCTGGTTGTATGCGTGCTGCAGCCAACTGCTTGGTATTTAAATTTAAATAATAAAGCATTTAAAACTCTTAAACGTTTTCCAGAACTCCTTTAAACCAATAAATGAACATAAAGGGTATGAGTTGCCAATATTCTAACCTCTCTGACAGACACTAATATAAATCTTGTTATAAAAGGAGATATTAATAATGTGACATTAAAATAAACATGTTATTAAAATGCTTATAGAAAGAAAAGATGGAAATGAACCGTGGATTAGTCACCAAGTTTTACTTGGTATTTTTATTATTCTGAAATCCAAATATTTTTATTTCCATTAGAATTTTTGTGATTCATTTTTTCAGAAAGACAGACAGCATATTGGCAGTGGTAGGGGTTTTGGTGGTAGAATTTTATCTATTTTCCAAATGTTTGAGGGATATTATTGATTTTAATAATTGTGATCACATAAAGATGTCTTGGTATTACTTTGTGAAATTTTACTTATGGTCTTATTCATAGTTTCTGTGACTATTTCATGGGTAAATCAGTAGGATTTTCTTTGATCACTGTGTACCAGAGGTCTATCTGTATTGATTAGGTAGAATTTATCAGCGGTATTACCTAGATAGGCTACATTTTTAGTATTTTGCCTACTTGACAAAATATTTGGGTTGTAATTCTGGTAATGTTTTTTATTTTAAAGAGAAAAAAGACAATGAGACCTAGTTTCAAAACTGAGTAGAATAGTTACAGTAGTTGATATGTTGTGCACTATTGTCTTCTTAGTAGTTTTTCAGAGTGCAGGATATAGGCATGATATCTTCTCTAAACAATATTAGCATAAAACATTCTTTTGCCAGGAACAAATAGAAACTGATTGTACAATTATCTCAACTACATTATGTATATAATATGCATACATTTCCTTTCCCCTTTCCCAGTCACAGGTTGTCTTTTCTTTGGAATAATTTCTTGCCTACTCACAATGTCTATTGTACATTTTGGATTCTATTTACTTGTTCAGTTTGTCACACTAGTTAGACAATATGATTTGTACATGTATGGGTCTGATTAATTTCACTTATGAGTATGGTTCAAGTTGCATCCATTTGCCTATAAAAGTCTCCAGTTTATTCTTCTCTATGGCTGAGTAATACTACATTACATAAAAGAGCCCGCATCTTTTTTGTCCATTCCTCAGTTGATGGGCACCTGGATTGTCTTCAAGATTTAGCTACTACAAATTGTGCTGCTATAAACATGGGTGCACACATATTGCTGTGGTATGATGTTTTTAATTCTTCTGGGAAAATACCCAGAGCGGACATAGCTGGCTCAAATAGGACCTCTAATCCTAGTTTTCTGAGGAATCTCTGCACTGATTTTCACAGTGGTTGTACCAGTCTACCCTCCCACCAACAGTGAGGAAGTGTTCCTTTTTCCCCACAGCCTTATCAGCATTTGTTACCAGTTGATTTTTGCTGTTAGCCATTCTTTCTGGGGTGAGATGGGATCTCAGTGTTTTAATTTGTATTTCTTGAATAACCAATGATGTTGGACATTTATTCATATATTTCTTTACCATTTGTATTTCTTTATCTGAGAAGTGCATATATCTCAGATGCCCATTTTTGGATCAGGTCTTTAAATTTGGGAGGATTCTGGCAATTTTTAATTAATGTACTTTGGTGGCCGTGTTGTTAGGGCTTCCTAATGAGTTGATCCTTTAATTTTCATGTAATTACTTAATTACTAACAATGCCTTTTTTATCATTAAGATTGATTTTATTTAACATTAATGTTGGTATATTATTAATCTATAAATATTTCATATACATATATATGTCATGTATATATAACTTAATTCTGACTTTAATTTGAGGAACCCTGGCTTTTTACTGGTGAACAGATGAATTTATGTTTGTTGTGCTTTCTGATATATTTAGATTTACTTCCACCACCTTACTTGTATTTTATTTTATCACTCTTTGCTTTCTATTTTGTTTTTTTGTACATTTCATTGGTTGAGTTGATCTTTATTACATTTTCCTCCTGTATAGATTTGGAAATTATACTTTCTACTTCTATTTTTAAATAATTAATCATATAGATTTTCCTAACTGGGTAAAATTAATATCTATATCAGCTACCTAAGTAAAATGAGAATTATTATTCTCGTTATATAGACTAAACTTTAAATTTTGAAATAATATTGAACTCAAAATTGGAAAAATAGTAGAGTGCTATTGTATCATTCATCCAACCTCTTTGATTGATCACATTATTTAACTAGAGCTGTAGTAAAGAGGTAATTAGCATTGTCAGGATGCTGTTAATTACCTATGTCATTCTTGTTCCATTCTTTAGCTCCCACCTCTAAGTAGTTATCCTTGTTATTTATGCAGGCAATGAGACCTGAATTTACTAAGATGTTTATCAATTTCGTTAGTCAATATAGTCTTCTTAGGCCTCTCATTCTTCCTGTCTTAAAATTCTTTCTTTCCAGAGTCAGTCTTTTAGTTCTCTCACTGAATACCAGTAGCAGAAAACTATCTGAAAGTGTCTGAAGTTCCTCCTCATCCTAATTAATAGCTGAACTGCATCGGGTTAGAATTCTAGATTGACAGCTGTTTTCTGACAAGTTGTGTATTACTTCATTTTCTCCTGGCCCTGGTTTTTGTCATTGGAGTTTTTATTATTACATTAATTTTTCTACCTCTTTTAATTACATATTCTACCTTTTATCTCAGATTAATTTTAAGATTTCATTGTCTTGAGCATTCTGTGTACTTACTACAATGAATTTAGAGTGTCTTTTGGTTTTTCCTTTTGGTACTCAGTATAATTCTTCATTTTGAAAATTCATATCTTTCAATTCTTGAAAATTCTCACTTACTTTTGTTCATTTCTCTAAAACTTAAGTCAGTGTTGCACCTCATTGTTCTTTAGCCCCTTTTTTCACCTCTCTTTGTGCTCTAGTTATCCTATTTACTAATTTGATACACTCAAGATACAGGCAAGAACAGCTTGTACATTTTTCACTCAGCTTTTAGTATTCTACTTATTTTTGATTCCTGGAGAGTTCCTCCTGTTCCTCTCAAATACTAGCATGGGTTTGTCTTGTTTTGTTTTGTTTTGGCTGTTGCTGCCATATTTTCATCTAGTATTTCTGAGCATTTAAAATACAGGATAGGAGAGAAAGCCATATCAAACCATGCATGTTGCCTGAGATGTGACAGGAGTTCTCCTGTGACCTATGACCAGATAATATAGCTTTATATTTTATACTCACTCTTGGCTTGAATAGGTAGCTAGGCTTGCTATGCCCCAGAGTATTTTTGGGGTTCCCTGTTCCTAACTGAAATCTTAGCCATTCTCTTTGTTCCCATTAGTGACTCAACACTTCACAAATAGTCTTCCTTGGAGCATGCATCTGAATTGAAGAGGATGACTTCCTTCCCCTTCAGTTTGGTCTTATAATTTGTTACATGTGGAACCACATAGTACTATATTCTTTATTCATCTATGAAATTTTCATTTGAAATCCTTCACATTTGTGTTCTTTAAACTTTTCTATTGTTTAATCAGTTTGTATTATGATTATTAAATAATATTTTCTAATAAATATGCATGATAATCTGCTAATTTCTTTATTGCTTGGTGACATTAACAGGGCTGGAAAAGATATGGCTATTACTGCTATTTGATTGGAAATACACTCTCCACATTTACAGAAGCAAACCAAACATGCAAAAATGAGAAGGCTTATTTAACAACTATTGAAGACAGGTATGTAACTATTTTAACTTTACTTAAACTATTTCAAATAATGAAGTTTTCAGAAAAATCCTAAGCATTAGAATCCTCTCAATTTCTCATTGAATTAGATGTGCTCCTAGGAACAGTTTACAAAAGACAGAAACATCAAAACCAATACTCTTCTTTAGATGTTTCATTACAAACATTATAAAATACTTTGCTACTTTTAGTGATACACAGCAGTATTCAGAACAGTTAATCTTCCTACCATACTTTATAGATTTAACTTTTTTCCCAGTACATACATCAACCTTTTATAGCAGATGGAAGTAAAATTTTAGGGTCTGTCTTCCACCACGAAGAGGCCAAAGAGAGTTAGTTAACCTGGCAGTGCAGAAGGGAAAACCAACTCAATCTCAGTGTCTCCTAATATTCACCCCCAACACAGATCGCTTGTGACCTTCAAAGATGTGGGGAATTCTCACCATCAGCCAGCAAACAGTTCTGTTGTGGGCACCAGCTGGGCATCATGTGATCCAGTTCACTTCTGGCACTATCCTTCTGGAAAGGGAATTAGATTGAAGACTTGGTTCCCAAATCTGTTCCTACCCATTCCTTCAACTACCAGTCTCAAGCCCCAGCTTCTTCTGTCTATGCTTTTGACAGGCTTTAGAGAAGAGTTCTCATGCCCTCCTTTTGGATTTGTTTAATTTGCTTGAGCACCTCAGAGAACTCAGGGAAACATTACATTTACTTGTTGTAAAGGATACAGATGAAAAGATGTAGTGTGTGAGGTGTGGAAGAAGGGGTGTGGGGCTCCCGTGACTTTTTCGGTTGCATGGACCTCCAGGTACCTCATGTATTCAGTTCTCTGGGAGCTCTCTGAACCTTGTCCTGTTGATTTTTTATGGATATAGCATTGCTTAGGCATGATTGCTAACAGCCTTGGTGGGGAAACCTTGTAAGACCTGTCTGTTCAGATTCTTCTTGCTTTCTTCCTTTCATAGCTTGGGGAAGGACCCTTCTGCACTGAGGGGTTGAGGTCTTAGACCTTATTTACTATCAGACAAGGTAGGTCAGAGTTATGCCTGGAGATATATAGATAGATATAGACATATAGATACAGATACAGCTACAGATACAAATGTATACATGTATAGATAGATACAGATATAGATGTATATATAGATATATAGCTATGTAGCGTGTCTATATATGTATATATAGACATATAGCTATATAGCATGATTTATATCATACTACACATTTATTCATTCTTTGCATCCTTCCATTTATTTCTTCGCTTTGCTTGATTAGTATGCTGATGGGTTAATAAAATCAAATGAACATAGATGATTTTAGGTGATTTTGACCTGTAGGATCCCATCTATGTTTGAGAATTATTTATTCTTCACCTACTCTTTGCAGAGTCTTGGATAAGACAGTGAAGAAACTTAGAAGAAGTTTGAAAATGTCCATTAGAAGAAGTAAACAGTTGTTGAATTTCAATATAATAAATTATATTTATTGGAATTTCAAGGCAGACCCGATAAAAATGTAGAAGACTGATTTTAAAAATTCTTTGATGAAAAAATGAGCATCATATAACATTTGTAATGCGCTGTCTTTAAAAAAGAACTGTTTTCACCTTACATTATTTTCATAATCTCAAACTATAAGGTACTCACATGAAAATCATAATGTAGATACATTTACCTTGTGACAAAGGAGGGAAACTGCTCATAGGCACATTTTCTGTTTTGTTATAATTGCAGAACCATGTATAAGATTTCACTACCTTTTTTTTTGTAGCAGGGATCAAACACTGAGCTGTATCTCCAGCCCCTATGTTTGTTTTTCTGTAGGTGTTTTTTAAGGTGTTTATATTCTGGCGCTCACTAACTCTGTTGTCAAATTTGATTTTCCGACTTTTAAAAAAAGTAATTGCATTTGGATCTATTGGTTGTTCACTCTGTTTAGGGTATGAAATTATTCAGACTGTGGACAAATATATGTTCTGTTATTGCTGGATCTCTTCACCTTTCCTGCCCTGATTGTCTTACGGATTGAACTGCATTGTTACCAGTTTATACGGGTTCGATAGATAGAATCCAAAGGGAGAAAAGGTGTTAGAATTCCTCCTTCAGCTCCTAGCTCTTTCTAGAAATTGGATCTGCTTCTGTGTATTTCTTGATAGTTTTTGGTTTCATAGCTGAGATATGAAATTTAAGGGGGAACATCCCTTAGATTATTCCATTTATAATATGCTTAATAATGTTATTATCTGTCCTTGTTTTCTTAATCAAGAATCAAGTAGAGCATATTAGCAAAGTAGGTTGAGTTTTTAATTAATTTCTTTTTTTTTAATTTAAGGTGAAAAGGAAAAAAAGAAGGGTACAAGTAATACAAAATTTAAAAAATAAACAGTAAGAAATCACTAGTTAATAGATTACATATTCTCATCTTAGAAATAGTTGTTCAAGTTACAAAATTGAAGCATATAAAGTGCACTTTCAAACAGTGAGAGTGCAAACAGTTTTGTTCAATGATCCAAAAAAAGCTCAGTAATATGGTTATCTATCTTATACACTTAAACATATATGCAGTTATAACCTTTAGAGCACTTTCTTTTCTTTTCTTTTGTACAATGACAATTACACATTTTATTACTCCCACAGTTCTTATTACTTTTTTTGAAGAGAGTAAAACCAAATGTGACATATCAGAACAGAGTCAGTCAAATCAAAAGGATGGACATAATAGATAATGTAAAAACAAAATACAAGGTGATCAACAGTGGTTACCATGCTGCCTCTTGCTATTTTAAGAATTGCCAGTTATAATAAATATTGAACAAAACAGTAAATAATAAAACCAAAGCATTGGAGACATTACAGGACTTTTAAAAGAAGATAATAGTCAACTAGAATGGGCGTCATAGTGAATCTTATTGTCTTTACAGTTGTTGCCTATACTTTTGAACTTGGTACTATCAAGCAAAGCAGAATAGGGGAAAATCACTCAAAACAAGATGGTGAGGGCAATACAGAATTTCAAATCAAGTTAATAGGAAATCAAAGTAGGTTACTATAATGTATCCTGCTATTTTTTATTTATTTTTCCCTTAGTTAAAAAGATAAAAAGAAAAAAGTAAATAAGTTTAAAAAAAAGGGATTGAGATAAAAGAGGGCATAACAACAGACCAGCGCAGGTCAAAACATAACCATTTAAGCAAAATAGTGTTTCACCACAAGATATTCTGACATAAAAATAGTTACCATAGTGTCTCTTTCTTTGAAATCTTTGAGTATAACTTCGTATACTATAGCACCAAACATATCAAGACACTATAAAACCATTCAAGAGAATGACATTTTTAGAGGGTATTTAGAACCAATTAACAGAAAATGAACAATGGTTTCTGTATAATCTCCTTGTCTATAAAAGTTTTTACTTATATTATCATATATAATAAAATCCAATAAGATACAACCTTTTAAGACCGATAGAGACAGAACATATGTTTGATGGGACTTCAAAACAAGATGATACTAAATCATCTCTAGCTATTATGATGTCTTGTTTTCTCCAAAATAGCTATTCCTACCATCCGATCTTCTCTGCCTCATTTCTGTTGAGCTCTTTTTCTGTCGTTTGTTGTTGGTTTGTCTTCTTCATTTTGCTTTCTGCTCCATTCATTGTGGCCTCTCTGCCACTATTTCTGGAATCTTGGTATTTTCCTTTTTTTGAATATCCTGCAGTATTCTCTGTAGAGTTGAATTGGTGGTTGTAAATTCCCCTAGTTCCTCTTCATTCTGGAAGCACCTTGTTTTTCCATCAATTTCTAGGGACAGTTGTGTAGGATACATCAATCTTGGCTGGAGGTTATTATCTTTCAAAGCTTGAATTATTTCCTCCCATGCCCTTTATGATTTGATAGTTTGTGCTAAGAAGTCCGCTGTAATTCTGATGGGTGTTCCCTTGTAAGTGATCTGTTTCTTGTCTCTGATGGCTTTTAGTATTCTGTTCTTATATTGGATCTCTGGAATTTTGATTATTATATGCCTGGGTATATCTCTGTTTGGGTTGTAGGTTGCTGGGGTCCTATATGCCTCATACATCTGAGTATCTTGCTAAATTAGGGAAATTCTCTTGGATTATTTCTGTGAATAACTTTTGTAGTCCATTTGTTTGTATTCCTACTTCTTCTTTTATGTTCTTAATTCTTAAGTTATAGATCCTCTTATCATCTTCTAGCCTTTGTATTGTTGATGTTTGTTTTTTTGTTATTTTTAAGAAGTTTTTCATTTCATGCTCCCATATTACAAATCTGCCCTCCAGTTCAGATAAACTATCCTTAGTTTCTTTCAAGCTGTTATGCCAGCTTTCGATAGAGTTTTTAGTTTCCTGGTGATCTCTTTGAGCCTGCTTTACGTATTCTATGTTTTCTCTATTTTCTCCATCAAACAATTCTCCCCTTTTTTTCTGTTCTTCCATTCCACCATCTGTTTTTTCTTGGGCAGTGCTTAGCATTTCTCTAACTATTCTACTTATATCTTGCTTCAGGTCATTAATAACTTCATTCCTAACTCGTCTATGAGGCTCTGGACATAGTGCTTTATGTCTTTTGGTACCATGTCTGATATTGCATGTTTCTCAGGATTGGGGGCCGAGGACCCTTTCTTGTTGCTCCCTCTTCCCATATTTTTTTGTTCCTTTTTATACAAGCGTATATAGGAGGCCCAGTTTCTTTCTTTGTCGGTTACAGTTTGTTTGAATTGCACCGGCTAGGTGTTCCCGCCTTCTACAGTGCACTAGGGAGACACAGACCTGAGCAGCCTATGCTGGGCCCACCCCTCCAGGTCAACCTACCGAAGGCTTCACTGCTAGGGTGCACCTCCAGGTGCTAGGACATGGTTTGGGCTAGCTTACTGGGTCTTGGTCAGCGGTGTCACGCAGGCCAGGTACTCCCCACCAATCCTGCTTGAGAAGGGAATATGTGACTGAAGTCACTGCAGCATCCTGTCCCGGCCAGCCCGCCTGGTTCCAGTATGTCCTTTGCTGAAGCCTCCTACTCTATGGAAGGGTCCCCAATCCACTCACTCACTGCAGGTCAATGCAGGGCTCCCCGCCAGTCCCGCTCTCAACTCCATTCACCACTTCCCACTCTCAGAGCTTTCTCATCTCTCTCCTTGCTTTGCTGATTGGGACGCAGCAGCGGCTGTAGGAAATTCAAATCGCAGCCTCCAGTGGTGCAGGGTCCAGCTTCTGCGCTGAGACCTTATCTTTTCCTGTTATATCACCAGGATTGCGTTTCCAGTTGGTTTCTCTTGGTTTAGTTCGTTCCTGGGTTGGCAAAGTATATCTCCCCTTGCTTAGGATTTCTCGCCCAACACCACTCCTGGATTTTAAGTGCGGTTTCTCAGAGAGCCTCCAAAGCTGCTGCTATCTATCTACCGTGTTCTCCCAGAAGTCTAATCAATTTCTTTAAATTGCTATTTTCAAATTTATTTTGTGTTTTCAAAAATTCTCTTAGATTTTGAGGGAGGGCAAAGAGGGTATGTGAGCTAAAAAGAAGTAATGTATTTCAAACAATTTTATTTGCTCAGGTATATGACATTTTCCCCCTTGTAAGCTCATTTCTTTAGTGAAAATTATTAAAATTGAAATGGCATATAAATAAAATGCATTTGGATCACCAACTAAATCATAACTCATAGAATTGAGATAGTTCTCAGGTTGGTAATTGAAAATTTATATAAATGTTTCTAAAGACTAGTTGAATGTTAATTTTTATTTTAAAGATAAGTTGAATGTTAATTTTTATTTTAAAGATATGAACAAGCATTCCTGACTAGTCTGGTTGGATTGAGGCCTGAAAAATATTTTTGGACAGGACTTTCAGATATACAAATCAAAGGCACCTTTCAGTGGACCGAGCAAGAGGAGGTCCAGTTCACACATTGGAATGCGGATATGCCAGGTACGTACAGGCCTGGGCCCAAGGGTTCCCTTCACCCTGCCCATCCAGTCAGCAAGGACAATTACTGCTCCAAAGTAGACTGTGCAACCAATTAAACTATCCAAGTTCATTGTGCTTTCAGTAACTTTTAATTTTTTTCTTCCTTTTATTTTTTATCAAATCAGAATGAATTTGCAGTGCTATAAGGAAAAAAAGCAGAGAGAGAAAATTGCTAGTTGTTTGCTTCTGGTCTACTTGAAAAACACTTATGAAATCCTAGGCAGTCACACATGTTCCAAATGATCATCTTATTCCTGAAAACATAAAACAATATGAAACAAATATAAAGCTTTTCAGTGTAACTATGAATGGAAATAGTAGTGTTTTTGAGGAGGTAGTGTTTATGTGGAATTTATTATTCTGATTATTTTGAGAGTATCATTGTGTTTAGCTCTTCACATGCCTTGGGTGTACTCTATGCTTGTAAGAATCCTGGAAGATAAGTTTAAGTATCTTCATTAAAAAGATGTAGAAATTGGGACTCTAAAAATTTACGTGATTAAAAAATATCTGAGCATGGGTTCAGACTAACCTGGGTAGTTAGCAGACTTGGGCTGTTTATATTTGCACCAAACATCCAGCTGTCAGTTTTGATTTGTGTTCCATGGTTAGAGGTTTTAAGTACTTTCCAACATAGGGTCTGAAAAGTTCTTTGTCTTCTATTTACACTAGTACCACTGGCATATACACCACTAAATGTAATAAAATTCAACATTCTTTTTAGAAACATTTCATTGTACCTGTATCAAAAGCTAAAAATGGAACAATAGCCCAAGAGTAGGAATTTACTACTTTGCCTAACATATCTTAATCTCGAGGAGTTATTTTAACTTGCATTCTCAGGTTTCAATAAGGAAAATATATCAATAATCTGAACAGTGTGATTCTTGTTTAATTATTAAATTATTAAGTTTTATGAAAAATGATAAAATTTTGGGTAATTTTTAAAATAACTGAGTTGCATATTAAGAACTGAATGCATACTTTTAAAAAAATATGGTAATTCTTATTGTCTAGCTTTCCTTTGCCTCTATTGCTCATTTAGCAATAGAATTCTAAGAGGCAAATCCTGGAATGTTCTTAGGGAACAAAAAAATGCATCAAACTGGAGTCCAAGGAGCAAGGGAGGAAGGCAGGAAGGAAAGAAGAAGAAAATTCTATTAAACCACTATTTTTGCCAATGTGGCTAATTTGATCATCATACTAAAAATATTGTGTCATTAAATGTGTGGGACACCCTACCAAATGTTAGGAATACAAAATGTTATTTAAAAAACTCCTTAGTATCATAATTCAGTTAGGGTTATATACCACACAAGTAAAAGTCAAGGATGGTTTGAAAAGCACACACCAACTGCACGAGTGTAGTAGCCTCTTCTAGTTTTCTCATTGCATGCAGATATTAGCACGTATTTCACACTCAGCTTTGTGTTGTCTCCTGTGAACATGTTAGGCCTTCAGTGTCTTAGTCACTTTTTCATTGCTGGGAAAAAATACCTGATACCCACAGCTCAAAGGAAAAGAGATTATTTTGGCTTACACTTTTAGATTATAGTTGGCTGGCTCCGAGGCAGGAGGGGCATGGTAAAAGGGTCTAGCAGAGGAAAATACTCACATCATGGTAGCAGAAAGCAACACAAGAAAGGAGGACCTGGGAGGGAGATACACCCTTCTGCATCACACCCCCCACTGACCCTCCTCCAACCAGGTCCCAGCTCCTGACAGCACATTCAGTAGCTGAACTCATTAGTAGACAAACCCACTGATGAGCATAGCACCCCCATGACCCAGTTACCTTCCCAAAGCCTCACCTTTGAGTGTACAAGACTTTGGGGCATATTTTCTATCTGAACCATAACATTTAGTGAGCACTTATAGAATGAATTCTACTTTATGTGTTTAATGTTCAATGCAGGTCGAAAGGCAGGTTGTGTTGCCATGAGGACTGGGATTGCAGGGGGCTTATGGGATGTTCTGAAATGTGATCAAAAGGCAAAATTTGTGTGTAAGCACTGGGCAGAAGGAGTAACTCGTCCACCAGAGCCCACAACAACTCCTGAGCCCAAATGCCCAGAGGATTGGGGTACCACCAGTAAAACAAGCTCCTGCTTCAAGGTAAGTATTAATTACTAAGCTAACAAAGAATGTGAAATATCTGTCTTCCTTTAGAATCATCTGAGGAATTAAAAACAAAAGCAAAAGCAGAACACTTTGTTATCCAGGCTTTACCTGGAGAGGTTGTGTACTGGCCTTATTGTCCTGAGCATCAGTTGTTTCCAAGAGTTCCTTGGTGGAATTCTAATGACCAGTTGCAAGCAAATGCAACTCACAGTCTAGTCATTGTCCCTTCCTTTCTATTTCTCTTTTTTCTCCCAGGTCTTCTATTTCTATTCTGAGCTAAGTCTTTTTCCATCTTTATAAAAAATTTTCTTCCCTCCTGTGCTATCCTGTTTCATCTCATTTTTGTTCTGGTCTTGGAACACAAGATTTTAACTATCACAACTTGTTAAACATTCTATAAAGCCACATAGGTTTTTTTTTTTTTTTTTTTTTTTTTTTGGTCTTTTTCCTTTTTACCGGTACCGGGGATCGAACTCACGACTGCCTGCTTTCAAGGCAGGCGCTTATGCCGCTGAGCTAAACCCCCAGCCCCAAAGCCACATAGGTTTTTTAGAGAGCGCTTCATTTTTCTAATTTAACTCCCAATGATTATAATGATCAGAGATAAAGGCATTGAGAGATAGGGATATGTGACCTCGCAGTGCCCCTTAAATGAAATTCAATATTCTACTACTATTTTATATATTCTTAGGTTGAGTTATCAATTTTTTCCTTATGTAATCAAGTTCATTAAAATAAACAATCAGCTAAACAAAAATGGAAGCAAAAACAGAAAAACTCCAGTGAATTGAGGATTTGAGTCTTTTTTCTCTCTCTTAATAAGTCATGTCTTCTCTAGAAAAAGATTTAGCTAAATACAGAAATGTATATAGTGCATCCTGATACTGTTAGGATCTCTTTTACTCCATCCTTTTGGACAGCATACAGCATTGCCATACCTTTTGAGTTAGTTCATTAAGACTAATGAAGAGCTTTTGACAGGGCTGAAGGATGTAGCTTGCTAGCATGTGCGAGACTCTGAGTTCAATCCTCAGCACTGGGGGACAGAAAAATAAGAAGGAAAGAAATTGTTTCAGAATCAAGTTGTTTAATATTCTGCAACTCAAGAAGGTTATATTAGTTGATGTAGTCCCATCAAAGCTCAAAGCATAATTTGTACAGGAGAGAATATATTAATTCTGTCTTAGTCACTTTTTACTCGTCGCTGAGACAAAATACCTGAAGCCCAAAGTTGGGAAAGGAAAGTTTATTTCTTACAGTTTTTTGGAGGTTTCAGTCCACACTTAGTTGGCTCCAAGACAGGCGGGCATGGCTGGGCCACAGTTCATGGTGGCTGCAAACAGCAAATAGGAACCAGCAAAGAAGAAGACACACCTTCTTCCTGCCATGACATCACATCCTGGCTCCACCCCTATGTGGGTGGAGCACTGACACCATCAATCTAAGCACTAGACAATGAACCATCACAAATGAACAATGCAAACTCATGAGGCCTGGGGGACACAGACGTAAACCATGACAGGGCTAAGCCAAAAAAAATGAGAAAGATTTTATAAATAGAATATCAAAAAGCTAACACTAACCAAATGAAGTATTTTAACACTATTAGTACGTCTGGAATCTTGCACTGCTGAACAAAAACCAAATTCATTTTATCTGTTGTCCTTTGCCAGAGGATGGTAGACTGTGGAGGTCTATCACAGTTATTTGACAAGAACATCAGATATTTCTAGAGCTTGGAAGTAAGCTGGTGATTCCACTGTAGGCAGTATCTAGGTGGGTGCTCAACAGAACAACACACATGCTACCTTGGAAACTATGAGGTGTTAGATGTCCCGTGGACAGGGTTGGTTTGGAAACATAGGCTGTGTTTAGAATATCGAGAGGCTGCAGTTAACTAAATTCAGCTGGAAATAAATTTATTTAAGGAAACAAAATCTATTACATTGAAGTACTCACAGGAGTCTTGGGAGCTACTGACACTCTTTCAGACACCTTTGATCAGGTAACTCAAGTCAAGATTAAGTTCAAGGTCAAAGTAGTTTTACATTACTACCTGGCAGCCATAGTCCATTGGATATAAATTTCCTTTTTCCACAAACCAGTAATGGTGGGGGCTGTGATTCACAAGGAAAGATGAATGACAATTCTGAAAGTTGATGGGTATGGTTAACTCCTATACTGTTTGATATTATAAGTATGTTCCAGGATGTCACTGTGAATACCATTTATGGTTCTATTTTTAGTCTTCTGGATAATAGGTTATAGTCTCTAAATTATAAAGTCTATTAAATTTAGTTTAGCTTCTAACCCATTTCTACCAAATGACTCTGTCATGGCATGTTTTAATACTTCTGAAAATGTACAACTGTAAGGCAAGAAGACAAGGCAATATTTTTGGAAGAACATTACTAGTAGTATGTTGAGAGATTGCCAGATTATTCATTGTTTAAGCAAAACAAGATAGCAAACTGTGCAGTTTTAGGAGGGCCATCTTCCTTAAAATATCCTTTATTTGTGTTTGTCTTCTCTTTATCAACAATTTATTTTCATGTATTTCAATGCTACTTTTCACTTTCCCAAGTTAATCCTGTCTTATAATGAGCTCCTTACCTAAACAACATGCCTGCAGTTTCTAAGATTTTAATCTCATTTCTCTTTTATTTTCTAAGGTTTTCTCAGCAAAATTTGAATCTCAAATAGTCACTAATAAATTGACTTTAAATCAAGAGAATTATATTGTTTGAAGCCATGGAAATGCTTTGTTTCTCTATAAATGAAACCTCTTCCAAAGTAAATGATTTTTTCTTCTGAGTTGATAAGATATGAAGTGCAAAATAATTTCTGAAATCATATCATCTCTAGCTGTTTGCAAAAGGAAAACATGAGAAGAAAACATGGTTTGAATCTCGAGATTTTTGTCGAGCCCTGGGTGGAGATCTAGCTACTATCAAGAGTAAAGAAGAGCAGCAAATAATATGGAGATTAATAACGTAAATATCTTTTCTGTTATAGCACTTCTTTCTTTTACCTATTTGATGTGAATGTGTATTAGGAAAATAATTATATTTCTGAAATTGTTGGTTCAGGATGCTACTCAGAACATCTACATCATGTTTCAAATCCTTGGGCCTTTTTAAAGATCTAGTTTAAGTTTAAAACTCCTCAACATTACACATGTAAATCCATCATTGTATTGCTCTGTAAAGGTAAAAGATGCCCATTATATATTTGTAAAATGAATGAATGAATATCTTCCAATGCTTTACAGTAATTTATTCTGAAACAGAGGCCCAGTGTCAAGAAATATATGGGTTATACCAAAATGTACATCTTCTGAATTTTAATCTCATTTGCAAAGTCTATTTGATGTGAATGATATTAGGAAAATAATTATATTTCTGAAATTGTTGGTTCAGGATGCTACTCGAAACACCTACATCATGTTTCAAACTCATGGGCCTTTTTAAAAAATCTATTTACTTTTGTGCTATCTAATTTTGTTTTGGAGATAACTTCCAATTCTGATTAATTCTTTTTTTTTGGTACTGAGGATTGAACTCACGACCTCGCGCTTGCCACACAAGCGCATACACCACTGAGCTAAATCCCCAGCAATTCTGATTAATTCCTATAGGTGACCAAACTTGATCCATGCATGTCCTGTTCGTGTTTTGTAGGAGTACTGGGAATTATCATGAGGTGTTCTGGTTGGGCCTGACATACGGAGGTAGTTCAGAAGGTTTCACCTGGAGTTCTGGCTCTCCAGTGAGTAATTTGATTTAATGTATCATTTTCTTTATCATATATTTATTTTTATTATCCTTTGGCTTAATCAATTTTTTTTGGCCAGATGGGTTGTTAAGATAGCTGGGTTTTTAAAATGCAAAATAAACATAAATTTAGGGTTACTATTTTGCTCTTGCTTTCTTTAGTTTTGCTTACCCAAAGCATAGCTATGGCTGCGGGATGAAAATCTACTTATTCCAGTAGTTTTTCTAAAATATCCTCATTCTGTACAAAATCAGTGCATAGAGTGTTACACTTCTTCAAAACTGAATGTTCTCTGGACTTTTCCAGATGAGTGCAAGTAGACACGATTTGTGGCAATCCCACTGGTGACTGTCACGGATTGTTAAACTTCTCTATTCCCAGAATTGGAGAAATGAGAAGTTATGGCGCTGCTGGCAATATTTAGCTGCTGTGGTTATCACAGGAAATGATTTCGTGTAATTTCAGTTCTGCCTTCTGGTATAATCCACCAGCAACTTTTCAAGGCACGTGGAAAGATGGTCTATTTGATGGCTTCATTAATATTTAGATTATATGTTTATATCTCGTGATGCTTACCTCAAAACTCTGTAGCCTCTAGTTACACACTGGAAATTTCAGAGGACCTGAAAGCAGCACTTTCCATTATGTCTGCTGTTCATTGTGGCAAACTTTGGAAGCTTCATTAGCAACATTTTATAGGTCTTTTTCTTCTATAAGATGAATCAACTGTGTTTCTTTATCTTACTCATCTAGTAAAGAGAAAGTTTCCAGAAAACCACTGAAATATTAGCCTTTAAGGATGAGTTGCTAATTTAGCAACTTTCACTACTGAGAAGTGGAACTCTTGCTAAGTTTTTCCTGTTAAATTCTACTTTTGTGATGTTTGAACCCATTCTATTTAGTGAGAGTAAAAAAAAATGCTGTGATAACCAATTGTCTACTCTTCTCAGCTACAAAAAGTTCCATGTAATAAAAAGTGTTTCTTTGCTATCTATGTTCAGAAATTGTTTCAAAGCAAAACTACTGTGAGGACAGGTAAATGAATGAAAAATGCAAATGTATCTTTTTTCTGTTTAAATAAATGATTGGCATTGGTTTGACAGAAATGATAATAATTGTGACAATATTTCTAATAGAGTGCTGATTCTTGGCTTTTTGGCTAAAATGAAGTCTAATGTTTCTGACACAGCTTTCCTATGAAAACTGGGCTTATGGAGAACCCAATAATTATAATAATGTTGAATATTGTGGTGAGATGAAAGGTGACCCCAATATGTACTGGAATGATATTAACTGTGAACATCTTAACAACTGGATTTGTCAGATACAAAAAGGTATGGTTGCCTACCTTCTCCTTCCTCTTAAATTGGAAAACTATCCTGATTCCCCAGTATCTTCCTTTTATTATTAGAAACAACTAAAATAACAGAGTCACAGGGAGCAGTCAGGGGTTGTCACTTCACAGGATAAGAGAGAAGTGACTGAGCACAGATAAATGTTCCAAAGGAACAGAAGATCAAAAGGCCACCCCGGAATTCTGGACAAGAGTCACATCCACCAGAACTGTTCCCACGAGCAGCTGCGCTTCTGGTCAAGGTCTGCGTGGCAGGGTTGGATGGGAGGCCACATCCTGCACTGTGAAGCAGAGTCAGAAAAGGGCAGTGCAGTCTCTGTTCTGGGATTTCTGCCTTCGGAACTTATGTATTAGTTATCAGCTAGGTAAAATATTCCCCAAGTCTGAATATTCTCAGTAATAATTTCGAAGGAAATGTTCCGTGCTGTGAACAGTTGCCACCTGGAGGTTCTTGATGCTTTCGGAGCCGTCCTGTTGTGGATGGTGACTCAGAAAGTCCCATGTAACCAGTCAGAAATCAGGGTCAGAGAATCTAGGACCTTAGATTTTGAAAACAAATAAACTAAGCTATCCTTGGACAAGGAAATATAGATCACCTTCCTCCGCTGTGAATAGATAAAGGGATCTGCATTGCCCTCTGGTGTTGGGAGCTGTATCCACTGTCAGCTCTCCTGCTAGAGGCACCATCATGCCCTCTGGCTATCTGCATGTTTTCCTTCCTCCTTTCCTTATTCTTTCTCTAATGAACCAAGGTTTTTAAAAAGGTCTCCTGGCTCTCAATGCCTACTAGTGAACTTTTAGTATTATTTGTAGTTTTGCTCTATTCTTGCATATGTTTAATATATTAAGCCCAAAGCTAGGGAACCTGGGTCTTTTCATCAGAGGCCAACATAATCCAGATACATTATTAACCTCTTGGAAAGATAATTATTCTATTTAAATTTTATTGAAACATACATTTAATTAGATTCTTTGAAGAAAATATATTTGTGTTTTGTAAACAAATGGTACATGTGGATTAGTTTCAAATGATAAGTTGTAAGTAAATTCACAACTAATTATAAAATGTCTGACTGGAAAACTAATCGTTTGAAAATTTTTATTTCTGTTAGTACATGTTTGCAGAACATACTGATTATGTTCATCATAGGGAGTTGGTGCTTGTATATAATACATCTGAATTCTTTTTGTGTCCTCATCCCTCTTTTCTCTCTCCTCCATCAAGGTCTTGGTCCCCTTCCCATTTACAAAAGTTCTGTCTCCCTGTTTCCTATAATTTACTTTGCTCTTTAACTTATGTATACTTTGTTTCTCATATAAGACAAACCGTGGCATATTTGAATTTATGTGCCTGATTTATTTCATTTAACATTATGGTCTCAGAGTGCATCCATTTTCCTGGATGACTCCAATTCATACTTCTGTGTAACACAGCAGTACTCCATTGTGTACAAATACCACATTTTTTCATCTAATCATCCGTTAGTGAATACATAGTATGATTCTAAGATCTATGTATTATGAGTTGTGCTGCTATAAATATGAGTGTGGACATATCACTGTAATAGGATGTCTTTACCTCTTTCAGGAATAAACCTTGCAAGGTGAATAATTGGGTTGAATGAAATTTTTATTTTTAGTATTCTGAAGGATCTCCATATTGATTCCCCTAGAGGTTGTAGTAGTTTATAGTGCCACTGAAATGTAGTAAGGCTCCTTTTTCCCCCGCAGTCTCCCCAGCATTTGTTATTATTTGATATCTTGATGGTGACCCTGTTTTTCGGGAGTGAGATGAAATCTATGTTATTTTAATTTGTGTTTCTCTCATGGCCAGAGATTTTGAGTATTTTTAGTGTATCGACCATTTGTACTTCTTATTATAAGAAGCATCTATTTATTTCAGTTGCTCATTTTTTGATTGGATCATTTATTGTGGGTGTCTAATTCTTTTGAGTTCTTTATATATTTTAGATATTAACCCTCCATCCAAGGAATGGCTGGCAAAATGTTTTTCCATTCTTTGGATTGTATCTTCATTCTTTTGGTTGTTTCCTTTGCTGGTTTGAAGCTTTTTAATTTGATATGATCCCATTTGTTGAATCTAGAGATTATATAATATTTTTTTGTACTGAGTATCGAACTTACAACCTTGCACTTGCCGGGCAAGTCCTATGATGCTGAACTATATTCCCAGCCCTTTATTTCATTCAGAAAATCTTTGCTCATCCCTGCATTTTTTCCTACTTTATCCACCAGCAGATTATTTGTTTTAATATTTCAGTCTTTGATCCACTTTGATTTTATTTTAGTTTATACTGAATAATATGGGTTTAGATTCAATCTTTTACATGTAGTTAGCCAGTTTTCCAAGCACCATGTATTAAAGAGGCTATCTTTCCTCTAACATATGTTTTTGGCCCCTTTGACAAAGATCAGGTGACTAAATGTTCCTGGCATCATTTCTGAATCTTCTGTTCTGTGGAAAACTCATCCCTATCGAACACCTACTGTATACCAATGACTTAAATACTGTGTTTTACCCTATTTACACATTTTACTCATTCCTTTTTGCAGTTGAGAAAATGGAGGCTAAATAATTTAAATTCAGGCTTTGAATTTGGAGACAGGCTCCCTGATTCCAAAACTCCTGTCCTTTTCTTTCCTTTATGTGATACTACTTGTGTCTACAAACTGTCTTCCAGTTTCTGCTGGCCCTTAGTGTAGATAATCTGTTTAAATATTAAATTCTAACTCCTTTTCTTTTACTCCCCTCCATACAACATAAGTGAACAAGAGTCTCTGGGTGTTGGGAGGTGGATGGTAAAGATTTTTAGTGGTTTTGACCCAGAAAATGTAAGGGTTGGAGCTTCATTTATGTTTAATTCTCTCTTGTTTTACAGGAAAAACACCAAATCCAGAGCCAACACCAGCTCCACAAGAAAGTAGGTGTTTCTGTATTTTCTGATAGTTGTATGAGTTGTCTTTGTCTCCCTTTTCCTATCTGAATAAAAAGAAAATACCCTAGAAAGGTGGAGAGAAATTCCTAATATTGGACAATCATGCGAAAGGTTACATTGTCCTCTCCAGAGAAAAGCCCCCCAACACACACATACAGAAGATCCATTAGTACAACTTCCCATGGGTCCATGAGTCAAATTCTTCTTCTTAATAGATGATCAGTGGCTACAGTAACCTGTCATCCCCAACAGGGTGGCCTAAAAAATGTACATTTATTGCCATGCAGTTCTGGAAGTCAGAAATCTGAAATCAGTTTCACTGGGCCAAAATCCAAATGTCACTGTAACCATGCCCTCTTAAAAGATCTGAGGAGGATCTGTTTCCTTGTTTGTAATCAGCTTCTGGAGTCCCACAGTCTGAAGAGAGTGGTTCATGCTCCCTTCCCCCATCTTCAAAACCAGCAGTGCAGCATCTTGCTTCAGCTGTCATATTGCCTTATGATGCAGTCACATATCCCTCTGTGTCCCTCCATAAAGACGCTGGACTAACATTCAAGGCTCATCCAGATAATCCAGGGTCATCTATCCTTTTCAAAATCCTTACTTTAGTTGCATCTGCAGTGTGACCATCACTATTAGAATAACATTCACAGATGACAGGGATTAGAATCAGTGTCTTTGGGTGTCCTTAGTCTCCCACAGCATATAACCTTAAAATTCTGTGATTTGGAAGAAGCCTTAGGCATCCTGTATGTGAGTTCCTTGGTTCTCCAATCCTTCTATAAAGTGCCCAATCCATCTGTAATCTGGAAGAAATCCAGTTTCCCACAGCTCTAATTTGTAGGAGCTAGGACATTATGGTTACACATGTGTAAATATTTCTAGCTGTGCTATTTGATTGATGAAAGTAATACTGGGAATTGTTTTACCCAATAAGGACACATAGAGCTTGATTGGGAAGAGAAGCTGGCTGGTCTTAACAAGGTTGTGGAAGGTAGATACTTGGCTTGAAGCAACTTAGTCTGTATTTGGCATAGACATCTTCCTTATTATGGGCTCTCATCTTTAACACAGTTACTCTGTCCATATCTAATTGTTTTTAAAAGTAAGTAACACTCATCATTCTTTCTCATTATGTTTTCAGATCCACCAGTCACTGAAGATGGGTGGGTTATTTACAAAGAGTACCAGTATTATTTTAGCAAACAGAAGGAAAGCATGGACAATGCACGAGCTTTTTGCAAGAGGAATTTTGGTGATCTTGTTACTATTAAAAGTGAAAGTGAAAAGAAGTTTCTATGGAAATATGTAAGAATATGGTTACAAATAGGATACTGATGCGTTATAAACATAGTTAATGTCTGCGGTTGGCAGCCCATGGCATAATTTCAGACTATATGCTAAAGTTGAAGCTCCTAGGTTCAGAGTCACTGATGTACTTGCCTGAGGAGGGGGCCATTGTAGAAATGATACTTTAGGGCAGAACAGTCTGGGCTTTAGAAGGATCCATATTTTATGGCTTGGAGTTTATTAATTTGTTGTTCAAAGATTATAAGTCTTAACTAATCGTTATATATCAATAAGAGACCCTTTGTATATCAGAAGCCTCATTATCTGTTTTGTTGTATCAAATCATTGGCTAATATATAGTATACCATGATTATTCATATAAAAATCTTTCCTGGTTGTATCCAAATTGTCGTCTATTACAGAAGGTCTAATTTATTTTTCCTAAGGGCACTTGGCCCATATCTTCCTGATTAAATTTTTTATGGTATATTTATTGCTTGCCAGAGAAGTAGGAGAGAGAGCAGCAAAAAATAAATTCATTAATACTAACGGATAAAAAATTCATTGAATTATGATGATATGATTATGTGGTCTAACTTTTTATCTTTGTGGATTTACCTTGCTTTGAAATTCTCAGGATGTATCCTAAAATATATTTGTGCAGTATTTTCATAGGCATAACCTTATTATATATTAAATCCATACCAGCGAAAAATACTCCTTTTGATGCACAATCCTCACTAGTTACTTTCTTTTTGAAAAGGTGTCTTCAAAACCTGTTACAGACATTTAATATTATACAGAATGACTTAAGACATTTGCTTTGTAAGTGTGTGTTGTTATATTATATACATCTGTTTATTTCTGTGGAGAATATAACTTAGCATATACAACCCTTCTGCATGCATTATTCCTTAGAAAAATTTACAAATAGGTAGTCTCATTAATGTATAGGTTTTGTTTATTATTTTGTTATAAATTAAACTATGTAAAATTTCATGTTCTAGGTAAACAGAAAGGATGCACCATCAATGTCAGCGTATTTTATTGGTTTATTGATCAGCGTGGATAAGACATTTATGTAAGTAAATCAAACCAAAACAGCTTTGCTTAGGACAAACTGATCTGGCAATGCTGAATTATTTTGAGACTTTTGCTTTGGTGAACACATTTTGAAACTTCTATAGCATTCTCCCATCCAAAAACTAACCAGGCCCAGTGCTGCTTAGCTTGTGAGACATGGTGCATTCAGGGTGGTGTGGCTATAGCCAGAATTCTCTTTCTAAAAAGCATCTCTCACAAGATAGTTGAAAATAATCCTTTTAAATATTTTTCCTTTTTCTTTCCTATCTTTTTAAAAATTAAGTTTATTGGTACATTTTAGGCATACATAATGTTCCCTAGTTACTCTTTTTATTTGAACCTTTTCTTCCTATTTCACAATATCTATTATACATTTTGGTCCTAACTTAAACACTTTTAGTTTCTCACACCAGAGAACCAGTGCAGTATTTATACATGCATATCCGACTGATCTCACTTAAGAGTGTGGTCTCAAGGTGCATTCATTTAGCTAGAAATATCTCAAGTTTATCCTTCCTTATAACAGAGTAGTACTTATTAAATTAAAAAATCACATCTTTATCCACTCATCAGTTTATGGGCATTTGGACTTTTCCAAGATTTAGTTATTATAAAGTGTACTATTATGAACATGGGTATGCATATATTGCTGCAGCATGATGCTTTTAATTCTTTTAGGAAGATACCAAAAAAAGGAATAGCAATGTCAATCGTTCCTAAACAATTCAAAATTGGATTTTGCAAAATATCACTTGCCTTTGTTATAGGACATCCTTGCTTATCAGTAAGCTGTCAAATAAGAAGATGTATTAGATAGCTAGGGATCGTGAATTTATTTTAAAACTACTACTCAGTTTAGACTAACATAGGTACTAGCCCCTGAGGACCCTTTCCTGTTGCCTACTCACTGCTTAGCAGCACTGGTTTCAAGTATACTTTCATTCTAAAAAATTATTTTGCTTTCTGTAAAACATAGGGACCAGAAAAAGCACAGAAAGATGGAGACAATTAGCACATCTTTGAGATTTCCTTCTTCATTTATGAATACACGTGCTCCCCTGAACTGGAAGAGCAGAGGTCCTCGTGGCTCGTGTACAGATGTCTTAGCCGCATACATTCCATGGGACTTTTACAGCCATCTTTGAGCAATGGAGACCTAAATTCAAGCCTGTTATTTCTCAAGAACAGGAACATTTGGTTTTCCTTGGAACAGAAACCCATGTTGTCATCTCTAAAATGAGAGGGTCAAATTTGATGATCTGTTTTTCCTTTCAACTCTCCCAGTCTCTGAATTTCTATGACTTAAGAAAATAATCATTGGCCCACCTACCTTAAAACAAACCTGAATTGACATAGGAGTCAGAGAACGGGCACAATGAGAAACTTTATATTCTCTGCCTCTCCAGGGGGATTTGGTTATATGGAAATCATGCCCAAGAGGACCATGGGAGGACTTTGGCCTCTGGTCCACTTCCAGAGTCACTGAGATCTCCATTTGTTCTCCTATGTCAGGACTAAAGATAGTTTCTTCTAGGGGACAAGCAAAAGGCAGACCAATAGTTAGTATTAAGGTCTCTCTGAAAGTGGCTGATTTGCTGATGGCTGATGATATACAAGGTTAAATGTAATTTGTGTTACTTGAAAACTGGACCCAAAGGTGTCAGAGTTTTTACTTGGAAACACAAAGTTCTGGGATGTGCCCAGTGTGCAGGCCTTTGGGGTTTTCCTGTCAGTCCCTCTAGGTTCTCTCTTCTGCTTGCTTAGTGTCCTGTGCTCCTGTCATCTTAACTGACTCGCTCTTTCCCATTCTAGGTTGCAGCCAATTATTTTTAATGACTGGATTTTTGTAAAATTCTTGCATTTTCTTTTCCAGTTGGATGGATGGATCCAAAGTGGATTATGTGTCTTGGGCCCCCGGTGAACCCAATTTTGCAAATGAAGATGAAAATTGTGTAACTTTGTATACAGATTCAGGTAGAGGACACATAAATTTTCTTGAATGTGCTTTGTGGTATAATGTGTCATTTCCTTCAGCCTTAGCCTAAAAGGAACAAGTTGTGCACTTACATCACAAAGAGAGGATTCTAATTTTAGCAGCGTAACTATTCAATTTTAGGGATACTTGCCATTAACCTAATAAAAGACATAGTATTCTCAGTTCTTCCCAAATTATAAAATGTTTTTTCATGGTCTTGAGGAATGTATCTAGAATATGTTTATCTATCACTTTTATTTCTCTCCAGTTTCTTATTAGTCTGTAAAATGGGAATAATCACATAATCAATCTATTGCTGAGAAGATTAAATGAGATAATCCATCTAAAACTGAGCAGATGCTTAGGTATTATCAGACTATTCTTACTAGTGATTACTAACTAGATAATATTTTCTGCAATATTCTTGGTTCATAAGAAATTGCCCTATAGATTTAAATTATTATCAGCTTAAAATATTCTTCTATTATTTTATAACATGGATTCTTCTAGTTATGTGTGTAAAAAATAAAGTTTAGTTGTATTTTTTTTTTAATTTAAGAGGAAAAAGAGAAAAACACAAAACAAACCAAAGCGGTGTAAGGGTACACGTAATACAGAACTACAAAAACAAAACAAAACAAAACAAAAAAAAACAAAACAAACCAACAAAAAAAAACATAACAGTAAGAAATCACCTGTTAGTATATTACATATTATCATCTTGAAAATAGTTCCTCAAATCACAGTATCAAAGAATACAAGGTGGACATTCAAACAGGTAGACTGCAAACAGCTGTGTTCAATGATCCAAAAACATTGATACAGTCAGCTATTTAACACCCCTAAACACACTTGCTGTTATATCCGTTAGAGCTCTTTTTCTTTTCTTTTTTTTTTCCCCTCTCTTTTTTACAACAAAATTCACACACTTTGGATTTCATTACTCCTTAGTGCTTATTACTTTTTTTTTGGGGGGGGGGGAAGAATACAGTCAAATATGGCAAAACAAAGCTGTCAGTCAATACCAAGGATAGACATAGCACATGATGTAGAACAGAGTACAAGTTTATCAACAATGGTTATCAACGTTGTCCCTTGTTTCCTTAAAAAGAATTGTCTATCTCATTAGATATTATAAAGTTGGACAAAACAGTAGAGAACAAGACCAATAAAACTTAGGCATTGTAAACATTACAGGACTTCCAAAGAAGACAATAGTCAAACCAGAATGGGTATCTTAGTGAATCTTATTGTCTTCAAAGTAGTTGCCTATGTCTTCAAACTTGATGTTTAGTTGTATTTTAAACTATGTTTGAGGACTGGGGATATATCGCAGTGGCAAAAGTGCCTGCTGACAAGTGCAAGATCAATTTCCACTACCAAAAAGACTGTGTTTGCAAATCCTTACACAACCTAAGTATGACGTTAAAAGGGTTTGTACACATTCGTGAAATGTAACTCTTCTTGCTTTTCGCCAGGGTTGTGGAATGACATTAACTGTGGTTATCCCAGCCCCTTCATATGCCAGCGGCATAACAGCAGTATTAATGCCACCACGGTGCCCACCACACCCCCTACCCCAGGCGGCTGCAAGAACGGGTGGAAGTTTTACAACAACAAGGTACTGTACCAGGAGTAGCCACAGGCTTAGCATTGACCACTAGGGAGTAAAACAGCAAATTTTTCAGCTCAAAGTTAACTTTTGACTCCCTTGACATTTTAGGGAATTTTTGACAAGAGTTAAGTGGAGATTCTAATGGTAAGCTTTCACTGGAAATTGAAAGTGCATTTGAGATATTACCCAAATAGTTGTAATCTTTATCTCTAGGGAGAATAAAAGCTTATAGCAAAGAAAATCTGTGAGTCATAAAGCTAACTTTGTTTTTAAAGTTGCTGTTTGGTTGTGAGAAAATTTATATGTACTTATAATCGTCTTGAATACTTGAAATTTCTTTAGAGTCAACTTTATCAGTTTTAGTTAACCCCTGTTTTTTTGAATTCCATCTCAGTGTTATAAAATCTTTGGATTTGTTGAAGAAGAGAGAAAAAATTGGCAAGAGGCACGAAAAGCTTGCATAGGATTTAAAGGGAATCTGGTTTCCATACTCAATGAAAGGGAACAAGGTATGTGGGCTGACCTCCACTCAATGAGGAATTTATATGTATATATTTGCCCATAAAATAGTGGGACATTGCTGATTATAACTTTTTTTTTTAGTGTAAGTAAAAAAAAGTCACTTACTGAAAATGATTTTATTCAATCATAGACATGATTTGCTGGGCTCTCTGTATAGAATTCTGCCCCATTTTCATTGCAACTGTATGAAACAGGGATTGTTACCTGGTTTCCTGAGAGAGGAAATAGTGTTTAAGAGACTTGCGTCAGGAAACTTCCCTGTGAGAAGTGGGTTTGGGGATCCAACCTAGGTCTGGCCAGCTTGCATTCAGTTCTGTTCCATCTGTTTCCAAAAATCTTCATTTTCCAAAGAGGCAAAGAAGAGTAGTGGTAAAAACAAAATGAAACACTGCTGACTTCACTTTATTCCTTTTTGAGTCACCTGATTATATAATTTATGAAACCATCAAACTGATAAATATTCAGATTCAGAACATTTTTTATAATGCATAAAGATAAGCCAGACCTATGAAGAACACTGATGAGAAAACTTGCCATGTCCATATAATAGATTGTAAAAATTCAATGTGTTTACTGTTAAAAGAAGGGCACTTTGCACTTTTGTGTAATCTCTTGGGTCTATCTTTGGTGAAATAGATATTAAGTTAAATTTGTGATTCACCCTTGATGGAAGATGTTGGCCAACTACAGGTAATGGCAGACTACACTGATAAAGGGCACTGCAAACTAATTATGGGTCAAAGAACCTCTGCTTAACTAGTTTGGCAAAGAGAGAAAATGGATTTTGGAAAGATCTTCATGTGTGGTCCTAGAAGGAAGACCATTGAGTGGCAGTTACAGAGAAATAATAGATTTAGATTCAAAGTCAGGGTGGCTGGAAGACATCAGGTGAGCTGTGAGCTGCTTGGTGAGGGAGGTAAGGAAGGAATTGTGAAAATGCGTGAACAGGCTCAAATGGATACGTTAGAGTCATGGATGGCTGCTACCAGATATAGAAAAGTTGTTCAGTAGATGCTTGTCATGTGTATAAATTCATGAGGATAGTGTAGAAGAAATATGAACTGCCTATCCCAAAAAGTATAAGTAAGAGGCTAAAATTTTTCATAATGTTCCACTCAATGTTTGTAAATGCCACCACGTTTAGAACATAATGTACAATAAACCAACTGTGTTTTCACTGAGAACCTTTGACAAGTTCAGCAACTTGCCAGACACTGAAAGAAAAGGATCAAGCCATAGCACACAAGGCAAGAAAGTTCACATTGCTCTAATTGGTCTGCCACATTTTTGGGGCTTAGCTACCCAGCAGAGAAACATAGTCATTGATTTCCTCTCAACCACAAACTGCTGATTCCTGACATAACAAAATTAGAACCTGGGTAGTAGAGATGTGCAGAAGGAAACAATTTTCAGATAAAATAACATTATTCCTGGCAACACACACACACGTTGCTGAATTCTTATTGTGGCTGTTGGCAGTAACCAAAAGAAAAAAAAAAGTCGATGCTGACTATTGGCAGGTGAAGCTTTCCCACATTTTATTTCCAGTTAGGGATAAGGCAAAAGTTACCATTTTATTTAAGGAATAAAATAAAACTAAAATAAATATCTACCCCTACTCTTCTTTCTCTGAAAAATGTTGGACATAATGTCCTTTTGTTGTTGCTGTTTTCTTAGATTTAGTTGAGAAAAAAGTTCATCTTTCAGGGAGGTATTTAGTACTTCTGCTGTTGTTCAAAAGAATCAGTATTAGCTGTGACTGCTCTGTGGGACTGGGTATGAAGAAACAGATAGTTTTATCTAATTTGCATCTTCTATTGGTAACCCCAAGTTCAAGGTCACCCCTTTCTATTTACATTCAGTAGATCCCTTTAAGCTACTTTAAGACATTTGTAAACTGCTATTCCACTGGGCAGGTGCTTATGTAAACTGGAGTTCATGCCTTGGACACAGTTTTTAGGAGCTGCACCTGGGGGAAGCCGCAGGGATGAGCTAAAGGAAAGGAGTGGGTGCATGTACAGTTAAACATTCTATAGCTTCCGAATATTTGTCATCATCCTCTGATACAGAATTGGTAGATAGATAGATAGAAATGTAGATAGGTCAAGCAAGCAAGCTGTATTGTTTACATGCTCTGAATTTCTCTAGATCCCTTCACCCATTGAGGAGATCACTTTGCATGAGTATGACCTCTAGGTCCAGGCACATTCACAGATGGTCACTGATCCCTCGGGGTTGCTAGTTTGAGAGGAATCCCAGTTGGGTAGCTCTTTTGGATTGGCAATCTGAGATAGTAATCATTTGAGAGCCTGGTCCCTCTTGTTTTGATTTTCAGAATTTTCTGTGTTAAGAGGCCCTCTTCCTGATAATTATCATCAAATCATTTGATTTACAGAATCAGGACAGCTGCTAACTCCTAGGGTGAGCATTTATGAATGGGGAAAATGTGCTTCTTTCTGCAGGCTGATAGGCAGGCACAACCAGATTGGGGTACACATCACGGAGAGGGGCACCAGATGGACTTCAGCCTCCTTTGCTCCCCTGCCCTGGTGCCCCTTGAACAGGGTGCTGCTTGCACTTCATTGTGCAGTCTCCTAGATAAAACTAAGGCTTCCATTGTAGGAAACTTTTCAATGTTCAAAGCTCAATAGCTATCGTGATGCTAAGGTTGGAATGTTTCCATGGTAAGGTCCTTTAAGTAATGATAAAAACATCCCATGCTCAGTATTCTGAAGTTAACATGTTTTTAAATATTTTCTCTATGATGAATATGAACCCCCAAATTTAAAACCACTTTGTGAAACTTTCTTTTAGCATTTCTTAACTCCCAGATGAAGGATTCCACTTTTAATGCCTGGATTGGGCTGAACGATGTCAACTCAGAGCACAAGTTCCTCTGGACAGACGGGCGAGGAGTTCAGTATACAAACTGGGGGAAAGGTTTCCCTGGTGGAAGAAGAAGCAGCCTTTCTTATGAAGATGTAAATATCACTTTCAGATTGCTCTCTATACACTATCAGCTTGCATGGAGGCTTATTTTTGACTAATCTATGACTAATGTATCAGTGTACTCTTTGCTGTGGTACTTTCTTGCAAATTTTAATTGTTTCAGATGGAGCCAATTTTGAGAGAAGGTTTGTATATTAAGAACACCTTATTTTAGGGCATTAGGGTGGTGAGTAGTAGGGAGACCCAGCTCCACAATGAGCCTAATAAGTAATCAGGAAAAAGGCAGGAACCCAAAGTTATCAGTTTTCTTTGAATCAGCTGCCCCTTATCCCTTGTAACTGCTGCAGGATTGTAGGTCTGGAAGCTACTACTGTACTACTTGTGAAGATATAATCCACACCATCATTCGCATTAGTAAGATCATATTTATAGTGTGCTTATTATGTACCACAGACCGCACTAAGTGTCTTTGTACATTAACCTAGGAGGTGACCTTTATTTTACTACTTTTGTTCTTACATAATTGAACAGTCAACCTATGATATCTAACATCATACTGAGGATTGTGAAAATCATAAAAAAATGTAAGATTTTGTTTTTACCTTCAAAGACCTTACACTTAAGCCAGAATGCAGGCCTTTTTTAATTCTATGAAAAAGTAAAACAAATTTTCATGACAAAATTCAATATTTAATACATTGCATATTGTTATCTTTAAAGTAGTTACTCAGAGTACAAAATATGGGCATAAAAATCTTCCTTATGTAAAAAAGGAGACAGTGGAGAAATAAAAATGTGTAAAGATGGAATCAACTAGAAAGTACTCTATCAAAGAGGAAATTCGTGTGGTGTGCAATCATTTAATCAGCTGACATTATCTATGGGGCTCTTTGTGCAAGCCACTGTCAGTGCATGACATGATAGAGGGGGAGTTATTAAAAAGAATCAACTACAAATATATCCTTGAGACACTTAAAACATCATCATAAGAGGAAGAGGAAGGCCATGCTCAGGGACACAGTGAGCAAAGTCTTCAAGAAGAGAGTAAGAGGTATGTTTGGGTAGGAGTAAATGCCTTTCAATATGACAGGCATTTGTTTTGTTTTGTTTTGTTTTGTTTTATAAAAGAAGTACAAGTAAGCTTTGAAAGTAGAATTTACAGAAATCTAGACGCTCTTTGAGAGAGTTTGCACTTTGTCAGATAGAAAAAATAGGATTAAATTAAAAAATGATCTGATCAGAATCAATTTTTATAACAACTTAGAACCTATATATAGTGTGGGTATATTTTGATGAGGAGTGCTTTTCCATGGAGAAATTCTTTTATCCTCTTTGTATTAATTAGAGTTAAAAATTTATTGAAGTTAGAGTGGAATGACTTAGGATTTGCTTAAAGAAATGGGTAAAAAATGAATTTAATATAAGTCAAAATCATCAATGTCTACTTTTGTCATTTTGAAAATATAAAAAATGTAGAAGCAATAAAAACAAACCAACAAAAGAATCTGTAATCTTAACATGTACAAAGAATGTTGAGTTTACTCTTGGAATTTTTGAGCATATGTGTAAATTTACAAAATTTACATTTCACAAAAATGGAATCAAAACACACATAATGTTTTGTTACAATTTTAGGACTTGAAAAAGAGAGAGAATTAAACACAGTTTAAGTTAGTGTTGAATTCCTTACACACACACACACACACACACACACACACACACACACACACAGGAAGCTATACCCACTTTACCGTAGAATTCAGTCACTTTCTTTTTTAATGAGGTGCAGTCACTACCCTTTTTTTTTTACTTTTATTTAAAAAGAAAAAAAGATAACAGTGTAAGGGTACAAGTAATACAGAACTACAAAAAAAAAAAAAAAAAAAACGCAGAAATTACCGGTTAATAGATTTACACATTGTCATCTTAGAAATAGTTGCTCAAACTTTTAAGTTACATATGACTGTCACCATTGCTATATTATTATTGTTAACATTTTTAAACATTTTGGGTTCTGTAGTTATTGACTCCTTTTTTGTGGTCATAGAGTATAGTTTGCAAAATTACAGTTTTTCTTTTAAGTTTGTTAAAGTGTATCTTATGGATACAGACACAGACACAGAGAAACAGACACAGAGAAGTATCAAAGAAAAACAGAAGCAGAAGGAAGGAACAAGTGAAACTTAAATGATCAGAAGCCAGCTTTCTGTAGAGTTAGGCTAGATCCTAGGAAACTGCGAGCTCCATCTCCCTATAGTTAAGGGGCTGCAGTAACTCAGTGCTGTGGAAAGTTGAGCTTATACAGACTGATGAAGCCATAGACACAAGAAAAATTCAATTCAGCCAGCTTAAACAGCAAGGAATGTTTAATATTTCCATGACAAAAGTACAGCCTGAAAGGCAAATCACAATATTTCATTACACCTAAAATACTACTGATGGAAAAACTCACTCTCTTAGCATGTGCCACTAAAGAAGAATCAACCAATTAAATTCTTCATACTGCTGATTATGATATTCACCTCTTATTTTAGAAATGTTAAAATATGAGAAGCACATGTCATATAATTGGCAGCACGTGATACATGGCTCCCTAGCATCACCAGGCATAGAGATTCTTTCCATCTTGCCTCTCTTCATACTTGGCATAGCGGCCTCTCTGTCTGCATTATGACAGGCCGAAAGGTTGCAGGCATCAGGTTCATTCACAATAATATTCGATTCCACATTCTTTTGTGGGCCTTTGTCAATTAGGACCCCTTTCCTGGGAAGCTGGTCCCCCAGTGCACCTTGCATTCCTCATCATGGAGAACTAATAGTTAGATCACTAGCAGGTCTGCTTGGAGGCTTAGTGCCTGGGACTTGGATGCTATCTGTTTTCACTTAACTACCTGGGTGACCTTAGGAGAGCATCCTCATTTCCCTGTGATTCATTTCTTTCATGCAAAAATGGGCACAGTCACAGTACCTGTGTCATAGGATAGATTTGAATTTAAATGAAATAATACATGGGCAGCAGTTAGATCCATGTCAGACATGAGTAAGGCAGGATATGACAACCGATAGGTTAGAAAAACCAAACATGTTGTAATCACAATTTGTATCTAATCCTGGACAAAAACCGTGGTAGATACGGGTTTTATCTTAGTCTATTTGGTTTTCAGTTCAGATAGCAAGAATCAAATGCAAAGATCTGCATGTGAAGTGGGTATAGGCGGGCAGAAAGTGCCTGCGGGCTGGGTACACATAAAGCAAGATTTTCAGAAAGCTTGGAACATTGAAGACTCTCATTTGCTTTTAAATGAATTAATATTAATGATTGTGAATTCCTGTTTGTCTTTCTTTGTCTGTAAACATACAGGCTGACTGTGTGGTTATTACGGGTGGGAAGTCGAGGGACGCAGGGAAATGGATGGACGACATCTGTGACAACAGGAAAGGCTACATATGCCAGACTCTGTCAGGTGAGTCCACCAAACCGCATCTGCCTGGACACGGCGGGCTTTCAAACGTGTCTTTAAATTTGGGCCATTTCCTTGATTCTTACTTTAATCTGTGTGAGCCTGTGACTGACAGAAGAGGTGAGGTTTCCTAGACTTCAGCCATGAGTCCGCTTCATTAGCACTACAGAAAATTTGAATTTGGGGTAGATTAAACTTGAAATCAAAACATTTCCTTAATTTTGTTAGAACTTTAAAACATTTGCCTGCTAGTATCTTTTTTTAAGTGTCCGCATAGGAAAACCACAGTTGGCTCATACAATTTGAGAACCATTGGCACGGAGTGTCATATATGCCTCGTCATCTCGTCATTTGTCCTATGTTTTTTTCTAAACCCATTGTATTTCAAAGAGAAAAGTAAAATAAAAACAAAATTTCAAAACACAAGATTCAGGGTTCAACACTGGTACATATATTGCTCATGGCTGACCTCAAATCAGTTAGCCAGAGCACAAGACAGCTGCGTTAAATTGTCCAAACAGTACCAGTGCAACCCTTTCTCTTCAGTGAACTCAGAGAAATCAGATAACTATCTTAACTATATTTCTCACACACACACACACACACACACAGCTTATTTTAGCTTCTCACACTGGTGAGACAATACAATGTTTACACATTCATGTCTAATTTCACTTATGAGTATGGACCCAAATTGCATCCGTTTACTTATAAAAGTCTCAAGTTTGCCTTTCTGTATGGCTGAGTAGTATTCCATTGTATAAAAGTACCACATCTTTTTTTTATTTAAAGAGAAAAAAAACAAAACAGTAAAAGGGTACAAGTAATACAGAATTTCAAAAAAAAAAAACAGTAAGAAATCACTAATTAACAAATTACTATTGTCAGAGTACCACAACTTTTTTATCCATTCCTCAGTGTATGGACATTTAGATTATTTCCAAGATTTGGCTATTACAAATTATGCTGCTGTGAACATGCCTGCACCTATATTGCTGTGGTATGATGTATTTAATTCTTTTAGGAAGATACCCAGAAGAGGAATATCTAGGTCAAATGGGACCTCTAATCCTAGTTTTTTGAGAGATCTCCACACTGATTTCCAGAGTGGTTGTACTAGTTTAAACTCCCACCAACAGTGGAAAAGGGTTCCTTTTTTCTCACCGCCTTTCCAGCATGTGTTATTGGTTGATTTCTTGGTAATAACCATTCTTTCCAGGATGAAGTGGAATCTCAGTGTTGCTTTAATTTACATCTCTTGAATGATCAGTGATGTTGAACATTTTTCATGTACTTATTTGCTCTTTGTATTTCTTCATCTGAGAAATGTGTATTTATCTAAGATGCCCATTTTTGGAATTGTATGTAAATCTGGGAGGACTTGTTTTTTTTACTTCTTTATATGGTCTTGATAGTAATCCTTCATCTGAGGAACAGCAGGTAAACATTTTCTCCCACATTGTTGGTTGTATCTTTACTCTGTTAATTGTTTCTCTTGCTGTGAAAAGCTTTTCAATAAGACGAGATCTCAATTGTTGATTCTTTGTGACAGTTCCTGTGCAATAGGGGTTTTGTTGATAAAGTCTTTGCCTACACCAATGTCTTCAAGAGTTTTACCTACTCTATCTTCCAGCAGATTTGATGTTTCTGTTGTAATATTTAGTCTTTGATCCATTTTGAATTCAGTGTAGTGCGTAGTGAAAGATACAGGTCCAACTTTAATCTTCAGCATGTGCAGAGCCGGTTTTTCCAGCACCATTTATTAAATAGGTATCTTTCTTCCAGTGAGTGTGTTTGGCACCTCTGACAAAGAAAAGGTGGCTTAGTGTGTCCGGAGTTGTTTCTGCATCTTTTAATCTTATTTATTTCAGAAAAGAGAGATGGAAGAGATAAAAGGAAGAACAGAACCACAACCATAAAGAGCCTAGGAACCGCATTCGTACTCACACATAAACAAAATCAAATAATAAAGGAGAAATATAAAGAAAGGAAAGGAAAGTCCAATTCCAGGAGTTTTCTCTGATTTCATTAGTAGACATCTTGTGAAGACACAGTCCCAATTCATGCAGATCTCTCCTAGAAAGCCAAAAGTAGCTTTTTGACAAGATAGTGTATAATCTCAGCATGCCTGCTCCAAGACCACTCACGGGGCTTGCCACCGACCCAAGTAATTGCCATGGATCCAGGCCCAGTGGGCGCTGTTAGATGGAGCCAGCCGCAGTTCTGGGTTCTGGACTTATCCAGCCCATCTCCAAAATGGCTCCTGGCTAATCACTCCCATGGAAGGACTAAGTCCTCTGCACGCACTGCCAGCCAGTGCAGTCCCTCACATCTGCTGCTCCCCTCCACTGCCATGGCTGTCTTCAGAAGCCTCTGGGGTCACCAGCTGTCACTATCACCCTGGATCCACACGTTTGAACTGCTCCTCTCATGCACTAAGTCTTATCTTGGGGAGAAGATGCCATCGGCTAGCTCCTTGTTTGGTGGAGTTTCTCTCTTTACTCTCTTGGTAGGCTTCAGTTCACTTCAGATTCTTCCTGGGTCCAGAGTACCTACTTCCCTCTTTCTTATCTTCCTTGTGATGCTAAATTCTAGTGTCTGGATGGCAACTCTCCAACAGGCTGTTTTCTCTGCTGCTTACTGCTCCATCATCTTGGTCTCTTCTCTCTGTCTTTCTTTCTTTCTTTTGAGACAGGTTCACAGTATGTAGTTCAGTTTGACTTTAAACTCAAAATGTAGCCCTGCTGGCCTCAAACTCATGGAGATTATCCTGTTTCAGCCTCCCATATCCTAGAATTTCAGGCATGTGGCATTATGCCTGGACTGTCCTATTTTCTGTGTCTTAAAACATGTAGGCATCTGATTTGAGTTTCTCTTTACATCTTAGAAATCTTGAATGTGGTTAAATAAAATAAAACAGAATGTATGGATATTTACTATGAATCAAGTTATAGTTCTGTAGTTTTAGTTTCTAGTGAAACTAGAACAGTGATATACAGCTGCACAAAAGAGTTGGGAATTTAAAAATGGATAGAGGGGAGGGTCCATAATGGCTGAGGTACCCCTAAATGCTGTTCCCAGAAGATGAGTGAGTTAGAAGGTACTTGCTCTCTCAGGTCTAACAGATTTCTCGACACTGTCAGGAGGCTCAGGGGCCTAATGTGAACCTGTGACAGTGCTTAGAATTGCTAAAGATCCTTTCAAGGTGTCTAGAAAGCACATTGCAGAAATTCTCATCTCCTTAACCCAAAATCGAGTCCAGACCTTGTCACTTTCTCTTTATGCAGTCTGCTGTCTGCATCCACCAGCTCTACATTCTGAGTCAGCCAATTACAGATTGAAAATATTTAGAAAAAAACTTCATCTGTATGTATACTAAACCTATACAGGCTATCTTTGTCATCATTCTCTAATCAATACACTGTAATTCTATTTATATATCATTTACATTGTGCTAGGCCTCACAAGTAATCTAGAGATGATTTAAAGTATACAGGAGGATGCATGTGGGTTGTACACAAGCCCTATCCCATTTTCACTCCATTTTAAATTTGTATCAAATTAACTATTTAGCTGATATTAGTATTTTAATAAATCTGTGCATAATAGATGTATCCATTGTATAATGTTTAGATTAGATTCAATGCCATTTTATAGAAGAGACTTGAGCAGCTGGAGATTTTGGCATCTGGGCAATGGGGAAGGTAATGTGGCCCAGCACGCCTGACTTCTAGGCCATCAATATCACATTGTGTGGGGTATGAATGGTGAGCCACATGCTTGTTTCAAATCTTCTTTTTTTTTTTTGTCTTTTTCTTTTTTATCGGTACTGGGGATCGAACTCACGACTGCCTGCTTGCAAGGCAGGCGCTTATGCCGCTGAGCTAAATCCCCAGCCCCAAATCTTCTTTTTCTTCTTAACATATTTGATAGAATCTTTTGTGATGCTTAATAATACTGTAAATATTTTAATGACAAAAGGAAAGAGTAATATTATCAAAGTAAAAAAGGCAGCATATTTAAAGTTGTAGAAACTATCAATTATCAAAAAACACTATCAAGTCCCCTTTAGAATATATGCTACCGAAGGGAATACAAAGTTACTCAATTCTCCTTTAAAAAGAATGACAGAAATTATAAGGCAGTACATCAAAATGGGAGTGTGTTTGAATAGTGGGATGAAGGGTGACCTTAGTCCCTTCATTTTGATTTTATGCATTTTTCAGATATATATATATGAAACATGTATATTATATAATGTATAATGAAGAATTTATTATTGCTGATTAACTTATTTTGGGATTGAACATAGGGCCTTTGGACTGAGCTACATCCTCAGCCCTTTAAAAAAAATTTTTTTTGAGACAAGTTCTTGCTAAATCACTAGATTGCTTAAATGGAACTCAAATTTGCAATTCTCCTGCCTCAGCCTTCCAGAGTGCTGGAACTATAGATGGGCACCACCACACCCAGCAGGAAACAGTATTTTAAATAAAATATAAAGTATCTTTTTAGCTGAAAAGCTGGAAAATATCATAAAATAAGAAAGAAAAGAAAAAAGTTTCTTATGATCTAACCACTGAGAAACAACATCTCATCATTTCAGTTTTTTTCACTCTTCATATTTTCTATGAAGGATTTTATGAATAAGCAAATTGGGTAGAGCTAAGTTTCCTGGTGATGTACAGCCTTCTCTCTTTGTTTCTTTCTTCCTCCTTTCCTTTCCTTTCCTTTCCTTTCCTTTCCTTCAAGCCTCATTTGCCACTTTTAATGGCCCCCAAGTTTTTGAATGGCATTAAGATAAACCCAGCCTTTCAGGAATGGGAACTAGATAAGGCAGTTTCTTGCACACTGACCTTTTGAAGTTCCTGTCCCAGCCTCTTGGTTTAATGTTATCTGATCAACACAAGATGGCAGCAACAGCAGGAGAAAGGGAGGCTGAAGCAGTTACTGCATATCAGGTACAACCAAAAGAAAGTTAAGCTCATCTGTAGTGTTAAAACAAGGCTGATGACGATTGGGTTAGTATAAAGTGGAACAGAACAGAGAACTGGCCAAGGTGAAAATTGGTAAGCAAAGATATGTAGAACTCTAGGCTAATGCTTACTTTTATATAAAAGAGCCCCACTGGAGATAGTTGAAGTTGTGTAGAGCTCACAGTGTTTGTGAGATAATTCAGCACTGTCTTGGTCCTAAATAGTCATAGAAAATATGTAAGCAAATGCATGTGGCTGTGTTCCAGTCAAACTCTATTTATAGATGCAAATTTGAATTTCATGTAATATTTACAGTGTCAAGAATTATTATTCTACATTTTCTTCCCCAACCATTTCAAAGCCATTGATATCTCATGGACTTCAAAAAACAAAAGACAATAGGCCATATTTAATCCACTGGATGGTCACTTATCACTGCTCTAGAACATCAGCTGGGGCAAACAGAAACAAATTCTGGTCTTGTGTCTTGATTGTATGCTGTACAGTGAGGCATAGACACAATGCAGTGATTAGAAACCCATGCTAAGATGTTCAGGAAGAAACAAAGTGGAAGTGGCTTGCTAACCTGACTTAGCAAGGTGCCAGCACCTGGACCAGTTTGGACAGTGATGGGAGACTTAGTGAGCATAGACAGTCATCTGTAAGGTGGGCCCTGAGGTCAAGGGTACATGGACCAAGGACTTACGTGTGTACAATTTCATTCCAACTTATCAGTGTCTTGAAAATGCATTGCTTACAGGGGGAGAAAACAGATGCAAACAGGTGCAGTTATGAGTGGAGTAAAACAAAGGGAGAGAGAGGAAGGCTGTTCTTAACCTTAAAACTTGGCAAAGAGAGAGAAATAAATATTTGCGTTACAATACAACAGATAGTCTTTAATTTTTAGTATTAAACTGTGATGTTTCTTTTATCCAGATATGAGATAACAATGAATTTGCAACAATTATATTTTAGTTTAGAATCTTCATCAAATATCTACCTTACCCTAAATACAGATTTAAAATTATTTTATCAGGCATATTGACTAAAAAATAGTTCTTTTATAAAATGATTCATGAAAATATTTTTAACACTTGATAGTTTGGATTTGTATTTTGATTGTTTTGTTGATGAATGAGAGAAAGTTGTACACTCATGACTCAATTCATATTTATTGGTAATCCTAATGGAAATAATCTATTCTTTCCAGATTCTTCCTTGCCTAATTCTCCAACAACAGTTCCAGCAAATGGCTTTATTAAATATGGCGAAAGCAGCTATTCACTCATGAAAAATAAGTTATCCTGGCATGAAGCAGAGAAATATTGCAGGGAATACACTTCCCTTATTGCTAGCATTCTGGATCCCTACACTAATTCATTTTTGTGGTTGAAAATGCAGCCATTTAATGTACCTGTGTGGATTGGCCTGAACAGTAACTTGGTAAGATGCTTGAGAAACACGCAACATGATATGCGTAAGTGGTGGCTGAATATGCTTTTCCTGTTCATTCTGATGAACAGTTATGTGAAAGAAATTGCTGAGAAATGAGAATGGTATTAACATGAATAGCACCCAATCTCTCAAGGATCCACTGCCTTCAAGGACCTAGGGAAGCTAGTGATATATGTCACAAATCAATTTAAGAATTGCATAACTGTTTGTGAATATTAAAATTATATTTTGAACCTAATAGTTATGTTGATTTGCTTATTTACTTTCAGTGTTATGATTACACCTAGGGTATGGGAATCAAGAAAGGAGGTTGGAGGCATAGTTACTGGGTGATGAGGATAATTTTATTTTTGTGACAAGCTCTTCTAGATTGACAGATGTCCTAAAGTTGTGAAATTTTCATCCATGTATAAGAAACATCTCATTGCTCTCAGTTCTGTCTATTCCATAACACAGAAAGGAAGGTTAGTAGAGCATAGTACAAAGTAAGGGATAAGGCCCAGAATCATGTGTGATAGAGTTGCCAAATTATTCCTAAAACCAGGCTCGTGAACTAGCAAACTTACTAGTTGCAGAAATAGAGATTCAATAGGTAACCAAGAGATAATACCAGAAGTTTTAAAGAGAGATATATACAGTGTTATTGGAGGAGAGAAGCAGGACCAGTGACGCTGACGAGGACCACCAGGGCTACTCTGAGAAAGTCAGCCTTTTAGGTGGACTGTAGTCTAGCATGATACAACAGAAGGAAAAAATACCGAGAAAGAAAAGCACCAAAGGAGGCAAAACTGGTAACTAGATCGTTGTCCGATTTTATAGAGCTCCCAATGCCCTGATGCAGAGATAAAGACTTACATGTTATATAATCAGGATTTCCTAGGTACAAAAGTGAAGATTTAAAAGTAAATAGTTCTGTAATGATTTCTGCAACTAAAGCATAAGCAAGGCATTTTTGATCTCCATTGACTGTTTTTCATAATTGATTTGTTTGATTATTCATTTTCTTATGCATGTACTCACAGTTCTCCTATGAGTTTATGATAGGCTTTGGCTTATTGTAAGAATGATTAAATAGTTTTCCCTAAAACCAATATTGCTGACTAAAGCAGTACTATTACCTTCTCTGTCTGCATTTCATGATTATGCAGGAATGATTTGATTAAACATAGGAGAACACAAAAAGAACTCTAACTTGAAATAGATACATGCTTTTAACTTAGTCATTGGATATTTGGCTATTTTCTTGGTAAATTAAATGATAACAGTTGGAAAATATTTGAATTTTTTAAAAATTTAGTTATCTCTGGATAATGTTATATATACCACCTGTTCTTAACTGTAATCTGTACAAATATATTTTAAATTTTTAAAAAGATACTTACTATATTTTTGATAAATATTCATGTTATTAGTGACTTTGTATGTGATCATAAATTTGACTTAATTTAATAGAAAAGTGAGAAGTGAGACAAAACAGCCAGTTTTTGGGTTTGTTTTTGTTTCTTAATGGCATCATGCTTTATATAGTTGAAAGAATATGTAACTAGAAACCAAAAGACTGGGCTCCTGTTTTATCTACCCAGATAAATGGTCTTACCTAAGTCATGTGCCACTAGTAAGATTTCTACAGCAGAACAAGTAGAAGACTGTCTCTCAGAGATGCATGAGTCAATGAAATTTACTCACTGTTTATTTTAATTTAAATAACATAAATGATTTATTTGCTATGAAAACTTTCCCTTGGCCCTGAACAACTTGAAAACAAAGAATTTCATGGATGAAGACACAGGTTTTTTAGTCTGTGTTTTTCCAAATTACTCTCAAGGATGTCTTCCTAGGGATCTCTAAGAAATAACTATTTTCAAGAAAGGGTGATTTCTTTCACTAACTCTAAGTTGGTACAGATGATTTATAACATTCTTTTTATTCACAGATGTTTAAGACACTGTGTTGGACCACAATCTTAAAATGCAGTCTTTATTCGTTGCTTGGTTCTTCTGGTACTGTCTAAATGAGACAAAACCCTATGTTCATAGTGGTTTTTGTTCTTTCAGACCAACAATGACTACACTTGGATTGATAAATGGAGGATGAGGTACAATAACTGGGCAGCTAATGAGCCCAAGCTGAAGTCAGCATGTGTTTATATGGATGTTGATGGCTTCTGGAAGACATCATATTGCAATGAAAGTTTTTATTTTCTCTGCAAGAGATCAGATGGTAATTTGATATATGAAAACAATTGAAGGATTTGAAATTTTCTGAATAAGTTACCACTCATCACAGTCAAAGTTGTTAAATAGTGATGGATCTTGGGTGGCTAAGTAGAAAACAAAATATTTCTTTGATCTGGGAAGATAGATAGATAGATAGATAGATAGATAGATAGATAGATAGATAGATAGATAGATAGATGTCAAAGTAATGGAGATAGTAAGTTTTCCTTATTTATAGTTTATTTTCTCTTTATAAATCTGTATGTATTGGAATTGAGGCTGTCCTCTGAATTTATGACAGATTACCCAAGAAATTCTGTTCCTTTTAAATAGAAACAGCACATTTGTATTAGTAGAATTCCATCAGAATGCATATAGTTTCATCAAATTAACAGATATTATGGACACAGTCCTAGAATCCTAATTATAATATTTAGTTAAAGCACAGGTGCCATTATTAGCTAAGAAGAATGGGAAAGAGTGGCTTGAAAGAAATCTCCCTTATAAATTACTTTGGTGTGACTTTTAAAAACTTACAACTAAGTATTAATAGATGTAGAGTTATACATTTTGACTGTGATTGATTACCACTATACGATTATGTATTCTGTTGCAATATATTTAAAATGGTAAGTAAGTAAATGCGCTTTAATAAAAATAGTGGATTCAAATAACAAACTTTGGTTTTTTTTTTTAAAAGAATGGTGATAGTTGATATAAATTTCCTTAGCTGTGAAAATATTATTCTATATCACGTTGACACTTCCAATTTTGCTTTATTTTTAATATCTCCGTATTAACAGAAATTCCTGCTACTGAACCACCACAGCTGCCGGGCAGGTGTCCAGAGTCGGAACTCAATGCGTGGATTCCTTTCCATGGTCACTGCTACTACATTGAATCTTCATTCACAAGGAACTGGGGCCAGGCTTCTCTGGAGTGTCTTCGGATGAGTAAGTGCCACATTTCCTAAAAAAAACCCCATAACTATCTACTCCAGGGTCCCGTGACATTAATAAGTATATATATAAAACACAAAAAATGTAAAATACTTGTTTATTTTTTAATGATTTTTTTGACAATAGAATAGTCAGTATTAAGCTCTCACAAATACCTTTGAACTTTATAACCTAAATTCATGTAAAAATATTTATTTGCTAAATAAGTCTTTCCACCCTAATATTCTACCTTGTTATGATTCTCATCCTCAGTTATTGCAAGTATTATGTTTGCTTATTAACTGATGAGCTTGGGTTTTACAAGCACCTAAGAATCATTTTATTTTGCCTATAATTAAAATGGATTTACGTCTAATTTTCTTTGTGTAGAAAAACAAAGACAAAACTCAAATACACCTGACATACATGAGTGATCCCTCCCCCCAAATAAAGATAATTTTTCAGGGAGCATTTTAAAGCTACTTAGTTGTCTCGTCAAATATTTTACTGAATTATTTTAAGTACATTTTATACACCCTAATTCATATACCCTAATCCAATAGTGGAGTGCAAGGGTTGTATTCTCATTTCCAACCTAAGTTGATTCAGAAGTCAACCTTAACTTTTAACTTTGTTCTCTGCATCAGATGAAGTCTGCTTGGTTAGCATCTGATTTGTGTATTTTTGGGTTCTGTTGTCAGATACATATATGTCTATATGTCCAAAATTTTCTTGATTAATTGAAACTTTATCATTATAGAATGTCTTCATTGTAACTAGAAATAACTTTTGTCTAATGTTAGCATAGCTGCTCCAGCTCTTTTTAAGTTATTGTCTGCATAGCAGCATAGCTTTGTCCAGACTTTTACTTATTTGTGTCTTTGAATCTCAAGTGTCTTTTATTTTTAATAAAAATATATTTACAGAAAAACATACAATTAAACCTTTCTAATTAATTAATTTGAATATTCTATGAATCTTTATTTTATTTAATGTTTGATATACTTAAATTTAGTGTGATTACTGCTAAAGTCAGTATGTCTAAGTCTTGTATTTGCCATTTTTCCCCTACATGTCTTATGAATTTTGGTTTCCTCATTCCTCTATGACTGCTTTCTTTTGCATTATATAGATAGTTTTTAGTGTACTTTTTAATGTCATTCTATCTTTTATTATTCAGATATTGCCCAATTTAGAATCCTTCATCTTGGGAGTTTGGATTTTAGGATCACTTTATGGAGTCATAACTGCACTGTTAAATCAAGGGGTGTCTATGTGTAGTTTAGTTAGCATTTTAGTGGAGATTGCAATTAGCATCTTAATTTTCATCAATCTAATTTAGATTCATATAAATTTAATTTTAATTGTAACAAAGGTTTTGGTCTTACATAACTGTTCTCTCTGCCCTCCACTATTATTGTCATACCAAACATCTTTTATGTCATATACCCAATGAGACCGATTTAAAATTATTTATTTATGTAGTTACTTTAAGTCAGATAGGATACAAAAAAGTTATAAAGAAAAAACACACTCATATGTTTGCTATATTTATGTGTATAGTTACTTTTCCTGTGCTATTTATTTATTTACACTAGGTATGTATATATATGCATGCATGCATGTATGTATGTATGTGTGTATATTCATTTTTTCATGTAAATTTGAGTTACTCTCATGTGTTCTTTTATTTCAGCCTGAAGGGCTCTCTTTAGTGTTTATTGCAGTAACAAATTCACTTTTGTTTATTTAGGAGTGTTTTAGTTTTTCTTTTATCTTTGAAGGTTGGTTTTTCTAGATAGAAAATTCCCAGTCAACAGTCATTTTCTTGCAGTTTTTTAAACATTTCATCTGATTTCTTCCTGCACTCCATGGTTTCTGGTTAAAAATTAGTGTTAGGTCTCTGTACATCACAAGTAATTACACCCTTGATGATTTTAAGACTGTATTTTCACAATTTGATTATGATGTGTATAGATGTGCTTTCCTATATGTGATAGACACAGATGTTTTTATATGGGAGGCTAGGGCTATTAAGTCTCCCAGATTTTACTAAGAGGCTCTGTGTAGGATGAACTTTTAATGTTCATCTAAGCAGTTTAAAAACTCTACCTTAGCCTTCATGTTCTGCTTTTGCAGAACCCAAAGGTTAGACAGAGGAGAGAGCCTAGGACCTTCGCAGGTCTTTGTCGGGAATGCACACAAGTAATGCATGTATGCATCTTGCTGCTATCTGTAACCTATTAACACATAAATGCTTTAAAAAGTCCCTTATAGATATTTTATTACTCAGGTTTTACGTTTCTTTACGTTATTATTTTCCCCACCTTCTGTCACTTCCTTGCCACTGAGAGTTTGGCAAACACTCCCAAGCAAGTCTGCAGTGAGGGACTTATGAATCAGGTCCTATAAAGGCAAGTTTTGCCCAGCAGGCTTTTCTAGGATATTATCTGGCAGTTTAAACAATGGGAATTCTTTGAGAATGGAGATTGGAAAGCATTCCAACCACATTCTCAGCCCTCCTGCGGTGTCCAGGCTATTGGTTTTCACTGTGACAGGGCTGATAGTTTTTAAGGATACTACACAGCTAGGAAAAAGGCAGTGAGATTCAGACAAGTTAAAATACTCAAAGTAGTACAAAACTTACGTAATTACCAAGATTCAATCATTTTTCTTGCATAAGTGCCCTTTGGAGTCTTATAATACTCTGGTTAATTTAATAAATAAAATATTTTCAGAACTACTATTATGCTATTTCTGATTCTCATGTCACAAGGTATATTTAAAAATTTACACTGCCTATGTAAAAAACTTGTTTTTAATTTTATTATCTAGCAAATAATTCTCACTTTAGCAAAACATGTCATAAAATGGCTACTGTCTATGAATTACAGATTTAATTACTTTTCTTGTTGCTGAAATAAATTACCCAGTACCTAAAGTTAAAGGAGGAAAGGCTTATTTGGATCACAGTAGAGCTTTCAGTCCATAGTCAGCTGGCCCCAAGGCATGGTGGCATGGCAGAGGGACATTGCAGTGTGGGCAGGAGACAGCAGAAGACAAGCAATGGCCAAGAGTGATGGCAGCGGCCCTCTTTCTGTCTCTTATTCTATCCAGGCTACCCACGCTTAGGGCAGATGGCACTCACCCCCAGTGTGGGGCATCCTTCATCCCAGCATCGCAACCTTAATTCCAGCATCACACATCCTAGATCCAGCCCCAACTATGACCACATGAAACTTTGGGGAACATCTAGAAATAAGCCGTAATGGACACAAATGGCCAGTGTCTATTAAATACATTTAATATTAGATGATATAATAACACAGAGAAAACAATTAGCAAAGGGATAAGCCAGAACACGGCAATATGGGATGTAGGCATACGTTAAGTTTAGGCCCTCAAGATTCAGAACGTCTGTATCATCATATGACTCTGCTCTGCTAGTGTGAGGTCATTAGCAAATTTCTAGGCTTAGTCTGTACTTTAGTTTGCTTGTCTATAGATGACCTGACAATAGCACCTATTTAGTAGGTCCTTTAAAATTTAATGGGATAATGCATATGAAGACCAAAGCAAAATGCAATGCCTGGCATGAAATATTTAATATATATTAGTTAATATTAAAAAGATGTAGATTTTTTTCTATAGAAATCTAATGCTGAGTATCTAATGCCTAATTTGTGTTCTGGGTTTCTGTCTGTCTTTGCTTTGAATGGTCCTGCACAAGGCAGCCAGATTAATAGTCCTATAGTATATTGTGTTATTCTGCTGCCCCACAAAACTAAGTATCCTTTACCATCACACTAATCTCCTGTCAGCAAGCCTAGCTCTCATCTCCTGCTGGCCTAATTTTTGGTTTGTTTGTAGTCCAGTGACCATATTATGATGATAATTCAGCCAAATCAAACCATCATTGTTCTAAAAGAAGTTCTGTGCATCCCTTCATCTTTGTATTTAATTATTGTTATCTGGAATCGTTTTCTGCCCCTGCTACATAAGACTCTATGCTCTTCTCTACTTAAATTCCCTTTTTGCCATTCTTCCCATTAGTTGCTTCCCCTAAATGAGTGTCCAACATGGCCGTACCCTATCTCACCTTTTTCTCCGTCATGTTCATTTATGCTATCCCTTTATGACTGGAAAATGAACCACAATATCATTAAGTTTTATTGTAGCTCATTTATGTTTGCACATTTTGCAGGAACTCGTTGCTTGCTTGTACAAAAATGATGCATAGAAGATCATATTCTCAGAATGAATACTGGTATTTTGAAAGACAAACATCCACTTACTGAAATTACCCTCCCCACTTTTTTCTTCTGCAGTCATGGAGAATAAACCCAAGGTGTTTGCACTGAACTGCATCCCCAACCCTTTTTAATTTTTTAGTTTTCAGGTAGGGTCTCACAAAGTCACTAGCTTGCACGGACTTGAAGTTGTGATCCTTCTGCCTCAGTCTCCCAGAATGTTGGGCTGATTTTTATTGTCTCTAATATCAGTATTGTTTATAAAAATATTTACCTCCCCAAGTTCTGCCTATCATATTTATCTTTTTATACTTTCCAGGTTCCTCTCTGGTTTCCATTGAAAGTGCTGCTGAATCCAGTTTTCTGTCATACCTAGTTGAACCTCTTAGAAGTAAAACCAATTTTTGGATAGGATTGTTCAGAAATGTTGAAGGTAATATTCGAAGAGCCACTTTTTAATTGCAAATATTTCAAAATGATGCATATAAAATAGGTTTAAGTTCCAGAAAGTCTTAAAAATGATTAATTTTTGATGATTTTGAAATTTCAAACTCATTTTTGTCTCAGATAAAAATTGAAAGTTTAAATGACTCACATATTATTCTCAAACCTGCTATTTAAAATTTCCTTCTGTAGTTTAAAGACTAAAGAATATTTTCCTTTTTTTTTGCCAAAATGAAAAAACTAGGAAAGGATAAGTGTAAATATTTATAAAGTTAGAAATAAAATTTCAGCTAAAACTGTATAATAAATACACTCTTGTTGTTTGCTTCCCTATAATGTCATTAGTTTCTTACCTGTTAAAAGTCTGCTTGTAAGCAATTCATAATTATAGTAAAAAATAATACACTTAGAAATTTTGTGCCAATAAGCAGAATTTAAAGGGGTTATTTTCAACTTTTGTTTTTACCCTTTTTTTTTTTTTTTTTTTTGATGACCAGGAAAGTGGTTTTGGTTAAACAACAGCCCATTATCATTTGTCAACTGGAACTCAGGAGATCCCTCTACTGAGCGAAATGATTGTGTAGTTATGACAGCCTCCTCGGGGCTTTGGTCTAATATCCATTGTTCTTCCTACAAAGGATTTATTTGTAAAAGACCAAAAAGTGAGTAAGAGGTTTGTTGCATGGTACATATGTTCACAAGCCACCATTTCTTTCAAACAGTGAGAGACCAGGTGTGGGATTACAGAGACCCATTGCAAAGCTTTCCTTTTATCTATGAAAAATCCATTCCACCAAGTCGATTACTGCCTGCAGCTATGAATGAGTGAGGGGTATTCTCTGCTTACCTATCAATACTTTTACAGTGGGGTATCCTTGAGTATAAATTTGCTAAATTACAAGCAGTTGGGACAGCTCATCTACACAGCCTTAGTGTATTAGGGAGAAGCAGAAGAGGCCAGGGCTGGAGAGGACTCAGATTTGATTACGAAACAAGTCATGTGAAAGCAACTGAGTCTCCACCTGAGATGGAGTGAAAGACCTTAACAAGAAGAGGGAGTGGGGAAATTAATAGAGTTAAATGCCCACAGTGTGCCACTGTCTGGACTTAAACATATCTGTACCATTTTACCTGTTATCCTTCCTAAGAGAAAAAGTTATTAATGAGACAGAAACTTAATTAAATGAATCAGATAAGCAAGTTATTTTCCCTCAGTAGGTTTTATTAGATTTTTAGCCTTTAGGTTCAATGTTGTGGTTTTATTTTACTTTTCACACAAATACTAACATTCTAGATTTCAGTGGGCCAGTTTCAAAATCCTCAGCCCAGAGTAGTTTCACTCACTGGTAGACTGAGTAGATTTTCAGAAAAGTATCAACGCTCAAATGCAGCATGGAGGTCCATATTTTCAACTCTTACAGTATATTCAAACTCATTATGTAGTTGCAAGTTGCTGCTATAACATTGATAACTAGATGGATGGAGGACGGATAGATCTTTTATCTGTCTATCTATCTATCCATCTCTTGATCCTTTCATTCATAATATTATGTCATAAGTCAAATATGAAGGCTTCCTTATAGTGGTAAAGAAATAAAAGTTACTGTCTATATCTAGTTCTTATGGATTTTTATGTAATTTGTGGTTTACAGTTATTGATCCTGAACCGACTCAGACATTAATTACAACAAAAGGTAAGACAATTATGAAATTTCAGATTTAAAAACCATAATAATCCTTTACTGCCCCCCCTGAACCTTTGGTCAGATTGCTCGAGGTAACTGTCCTTTGTCATTATTGTATATCATCATTCCACTGTGAGATAATGACACAATAAATAGCACAGCCACCCTGAATTTGGGGGTTCTGGATGGAATCTCCAAGATAACTTCAAAGAAGAGCCCTAGTCCAGTTGATTGAGCCAGGTCTTTTATGGCTAGGATAGGGGAGTTAGTGGGACAGGATTAGGTGGGTGATGAGAAGCTGAGGAGCATGAGGTTGGGGGAGCAACAGTGGCTGAGTATGTGGCTGCAGCAGTGGATGCAGAGACCTTGCGGGTGGGGCTGGTGTGTGGAGCCCAAGCAGAGTAAGCTTCATCCCAGTGCTCATTTGGGAGACTGCAGGATGCAGGAAGAAGCTGTGGTTGTTTTCAGAGCTCAGGAACTTGGCTGGGTGGAGGTGGCGCACATGGAAGTCACTTATCGTTTACTTAGATAATACTTTAGAAAAACAGGACTTGAAATGGGTTGGCATTTTCATTTTTAAAACTTTATTCTTTGGGAACCCATGGAAGAAATTTTTCTTAGGAATTTTTGTGGATTACTTCCGTTTTAAGCAGTTTTTGTTTGAAGTTTTATAGAGGATTTGAATTTGGGAACTAATTCTATTCTTTTTTACTAAATATTTTATTCATATTGTTGGCAGCTAAAAAAAGGACTCCACTGAGACTTATCACTTGCCTATTACCCTTTTATTAATCTCATGATGCAATTTGTTTACTAATTATATTCATGAGTTCAAATTTCTGCTGGTCTTATTTTATTTTCCCTTATTTTCATTTGCTTTTATCATCATTATTATTATTCTATTTATCTTCTTATTACAATGTGTTTGTAAGCAGGTCAAATTATTTTGAAACAAGGTATGTGTATACATATATGAAATGTATATATCCATATAACATATTATTTATGGCTTTTAAACATTGTTTTGTTGCTCATAAATGGATAAAATATTCTTGCAACCGAATAGCCATCTTAACCTTTCACCTGCATGTCATGTTGGCTCTCTTGAAAGAATTCTCATGTATTTTAGTTTTTCAGCAAGGCAATTTGTATCACTTTCCATCACTTTTAACCCTTTTTCTCCTTCCACTTGTTTTCTAATATTTTTTTTTTTATTTATAGCTGACTCCAGAAAGATGGAACCTACCAAAAAATCTTCCAGTGCAGCAGGCGTGGTGGTTGTCGTGGTCCTCCTGATCATAATGGGTGCCGCCTTGGCTGCCTATTATTTTTATAAGAAGAGACGGGTGCACATACCCCAGGAAACCACCTTTGAAAATACTCTCTATTTTAACAGTCATTCAAGTCCAGGAACAAGTGATACAAAAGTTCTCATGGGAAATATTGAACAGAACGAACATGCAGTCATTTAGTATTGCAATGTCATGTTGTTACATTTGGATTTTATAAAATTCTAAACAAAGTTTTGAATTCTTTAATTCAATGTGATTGTTTCTTTTAAAAATTAGCACAGCATTGTATTGGCCTGTCCCTTTTCTTTGCCTAATTGAAGAAATAATTGCTCATTTTCTAGCCTGACAAGACATTTTCACACACACACACCAAAGGGCATAATAATGTTGATGACTGCTTGTAAAAATATCTTAGGTGAATGCATAACACAGTGCCAGCATTTCAGCATCTTTGATGGGGAACTAGTGTCAACATCATGCTGATCAGAAGGGTTTCAGAAATGACTGTCTGAACTCCTGAAATATTTTAAGGAATTCCCAAAGATATGCCACTGCTAAACTGTAATTCAACAATTAGAATACCATTTTTAAAATAAAGACAGATAACCTGAGGTGGAATAAAAATTTACTCAATTTTTTTGTTTTATCAGTCTTAAAATCACTCCAGGTATTTAGGATTGTATTTTATCCATATGAAGAAGAATAAGGGGACAGCAAATCTTGTTTTCCCTGGACAGGATTTTATGGAGCACATATTACAAGGGTGTTTTTTTTCTCCTGTTATATGTATATCAGAAAGACAAAGATGTGAAATAGAAATGTAAATTTGCATAACTAGATGTACTCAGATAATGTGAAATGAACATTAAAGACATGATCTATTTTTAATAGATTCGTATTTTGGTGATATTCTTAAGTGTAAATTTGTTTTAAAATAATATTTACTTTACACTTTACTTTTAAACAACATCATTAGTAGAATTCTGTAAATTGGACTCCTCATCTGTTTGGAAAAGGAAAAACTAAAACACCAGGCATCAAATAAATTTTTACCGTATTAAATTGTATAGTTTCCCCAGTTCTTCTCTTATAACATTAACTCAACTTAAAATTCAAACGTGGAAAGCACTGCTCTTGGGAAGAACAACTTATTACCTCCCTTCAGCCATTCCTGTTTGCTTAAGAATCCTGCTTTAGATAAAGCTTTGTGTATATTATGGACTCTCCCGTCGGTTTCACATTCCCACACTGGTACCATCCTGCTTGCACCCTTTCTTTTGCTTTCTTAATGGCAGAAGTTCACCCATGGTCACTGGGCAGCTTTTCTTAGATGGCATAAAAAGACAAGGAGATGCAAAAATGTTGTGTTTATATGCATGTGTACCTTTGATTGCGGGTGGAGTGGATGGCTGAATTTTCAGGAATATCCATCATTTGAAAAAAAGATTAAGAAGCAGCCAACTGAGTGGGAACTATGATGAGCTTTCCAAGATCCCAGTTTATATAGGTGGCATGGAGAAAAAAGCAGGAAATGAGATGTAGGTAACTTTGGGAATGCTTGTTGGGTGCAAATAATGCTCTTCTCCACCTCGAATAATAGAAAACAAATTGCTTTTCATTTTCTTGGTAAGAACAAAGCATGTTCCACTGAGGGATTTCAGTGGCTACATTGTCAAAGCAATGCATAATGAATTAGACCATATGTGTATGTGTGTGTGTGTCAGGGTGTGGTTATGTGTGTTTGAGAGTCTCCCCTCAAAATACATGATGGAGTTAGAAATGTGGAATAAGGAGAAGTACATGAGGAAGTGTGGTTTACAAATTATTTATACAAGTTTTTTTCATTGTTATTCAGGGTGATATTTTTACAGAAAATATTCTGAACTCCAAAGAACACATATTTCAGACTTAAATATCTTATCATTTCAGGAAACAATGTGTGTCTGACAAGGTTCTGAGTATTGTATTTCACACTCTCAGATTATCTGCTCAAACACATAATCAAATAGATAAGTCATGGGTCTCTACATACCTATCCAAACACAGTCCTAAGATACCAGAGATACGTTTTGAGATCAGGTATTGGGTGGAGAAGAGCAATTTTTGTGTTTTATTCATTTGTTCTTGTATTTGATTGTTGTATGTTATTTGTTGTTGTATCTTTTTAAGCAGGGTGTTCTCTCTGGGGTTAAATGTTTAAGTGCTGTTGGTGTCCTCATTAGCTGTGTATTTGATTTAGGTTTTCATCAGAATCCAGTAGCTAGAAGATACCACAATGGTATTTTTCTTCAGTGGAGCTCAAATAATGTGAATAGTCTGTAACTTGAACTCGAAAAATAAAGGTGATGTATAGAGAGACTGGAAGGCTTGACTTAGTTTTTTTTTTTTTTTTTTTTTTTTTTTTTTTTTTTTGGTGCCTATTTATTCACAGATCTGTCTGTGTATTGATTCATTCTTTCATCAGATAGTTCTATTTCTTGAGTGTCTGATATGTGTGCCAGGCATTGAGCGAGGCTCTTTGGACTCACACAGAGATAACAAGCATTAACTGTACACAGGAGTGGGGAGTGGGGTGCCCTCAGAGCTAGGCCAGACACACAAACAGACCACTTTACCATAGTGTGGAGGGCACAGTGCTAGGCCATGTCGAAGGTCTTCATGTGAGAGCAGAAGACACAGATTCAGTGTCAGCAGGAAGAGGGTCCACTTTGTGGGCCCTGAAGTCTGTATTTTGGAGGGCCCACTTTAAGAAAAAGAATACCAAAACAGGTATAAAAATGAACGTTAACAAAATAGGAAAAGAAATTCTAAGGAATTATAAATTCTTAAAAGTTGGCAACTACAACATCACCACAAATTGAGGACAACTACACATTATTTATTTTTAGTAACTAACTTCCCGATGTACTTTCTGTTTATTCATTTGCTAAGATTGCCAGAAGAAAAACTTACGGTGGCTTAAGCAATAGAAATTTATTTTCTGATAGTTCTTGGGGGGAAAGTCCAAGATGGAGGTGCTGGCAGGGTTGATTCCTTGGAAGCCTCTGTTCTTGGCTTGCATGTGGTTATTCCCGTGCTGCCTCTTCTCATGATTGTCCCTCTGTGAATGTGTCCCTACTGTCCTAGTCTCTTTATAATGTCACTGGTCAGATTGGACTAAAGCTCCCCCTGACTACCTCATTTTAATTTAATTGCCTTTAAAAGCCATATATTCATAATTCTGAATTAATGTGAATTAGAGCTTCAACATACAAATTTTAAAGGCACAAAATTCAGCCCAATCTGACCAGTGCTTTTTAACTGTGCTTTGCATTTATCAGGGTAATCTAGAGAAACCAATAGGAGATGGAGTAAGAAGAGATCGAAGCGCTATGCATCTATCTATCTTAGCGAAAGTAATTTTAAGGAATTGGATCACATGACATCAGAAACGTGGAGATTCCAGAATAGGCTAACTGATACGGTGGATACCATGGAAGACTTGTAGTGCAGATAGTGTTTGCTGGAACTGTACCTCAGCTTGCAGAGGGAGGTCAGTCTTTGTTCTATTTAGTCCTTCAGTGGATTGGATTAAGGCCATCTATATTGCAGAGAGTAATCTATTTTACTTAAAATGCACCAATCAAAATATTAATCTTTAAATAGCTTCACAGAAATACCTAGAATAGTATTTGATCAAGTACCTAGGCACTGTGGTACAACTAAGTTGATACAAAAATTAACCATCATACCCCTTTAGGTTGCAATTGTTTTTGTTTGTTTGTTTTGTAGAGAGAATAGAAAGATAATTCTATCTTTGGACCAGTTAGTCAGAAATTTTAAAAATATTTGATAGCATAGAAAATTTCTTTCAACTACCAACTTTATTAATAATGTATAAAATTTTAGGATTAGAGCCAAATATAGTTTATCAAATTGTTTTCATTTACAAGCATTAATATTTCAGGGCACAGATTTTGAGGAGTGTGTATATAAAATGAGTAATATTAATAGCTTTGGAATTTATGGTATTAATCTAGTTTCTTTTTTTTATAATGGTACATTTCTTAGTCTGTCCTCTTGGTGTAGCAAAATACCCGGGGCTGGGTAAATCGTATCAGAAAGAGATTTCATTTGGCTCAGAGTTCTAGAGCTGGGGACATTCAAATTGGACACTGGCATCTGCTTGGAGTCTAGTGAGGCCCTGATGGTAGTTCCACTTGTGATGGAAAAGCAGAAGGAGCTGCAGGTGCATGCCGAGGAGGAGCATATGCTAGGGAGACACTCGTGGTAACCGATTTAGTCCTTTAGGATCTAAGTTACTCTAAGAGGATTTAGTCCCCTCCAGGGAACTAACCCAGTCTCTCCAGAGAGACAGAGCACGTTAATGAGGCCAAGGCCTCATGATCTAATTACGTCCTCCCAGGTCCCATGTTGTAAAGGCTCCCTCATTTCTCAAGGCCAGTATTTTAGTAAACAAGGTCCCAGCACATGTAACTATAGAGGACACATCCTATGTGTAAACCAGGGATTTTTGGTGAAGTTTTCATTTAAATATTTTCCTAACATGTTAGTATGATTTACTTACCTTTATCAACTAAATTGTCATATAACCTAACATAGCAAATTTATTAGAAATTTCTATTTTTTAATCATAAATTATTTTTTGGATGGTCTGAAAGTTCTCTTATTACTGTTTTCTTTCTAACGAGGAATAATCTATTATTTTTATGGCTAAGTTTTTGCTTAGCTTTATATTAGCATTAACCTTATTGACACTGATTTACATTAAATACATTTAAATGTAATTTAAAAATAGTAAAACAAGTATTCCATACATTTTAAACTGCAGTCCTCCAGTTGCTATAGAAGAATTTCTGATTTTTTTTAATGAAATGTTTCAAGGAGGCTTTTCCAAGTCACAATTTCAGTGATGTATTTGATAAAGCTCTAATACTACATTCTCATTGGGATAGAAGTGGGAAAAAAGGTTTTCCCACTGCACTGCAATGTTTTTATAATTGTCTACATTATTGCTGACACTTTGTATTTTGACTAGGCATTAATGGTAACTGAAAACTTATATTTATTTTACTTTTACATTCTGGTGAGTTTCTCTAGAGTTGATTTAGCATTCATGCCTTTCTAACTTTGTTTCTCTTTTATTTCCCATTTGTTTGGTCCTGGGTACAGGAAGATTAATACTCCTCCATAAAATCTGGCCCTCAACCTTCTAGTGCATGAAGGATGATTTTTGCACAAGGATGACAGGAATATCTCTAGAAGCCTTGTGTATGGGGACTTTGTTGATATGTATTTCTCTAGGCTAAAGTCTGGTAGTACTTGTCCAAATGTAAATCCAAGTGCACTGGAGGAATATCACAGAAGGAAAGCTCTGATTAGATGATTTTATGTTAGGGAAGTTATCTGGAATGGGCCTGACTTAATCAGTTAGAAGAGAACTTAACTCAATCAGTTGACTCAGTCAGTTGATTAGTCTTAAAGTTGAGTTTAGAGTTTTCCTGGGAGGGGCAAGGAAGGGGAAGTGCAGCTTTGGGCTACAAAGTTCCAGATGATCCCTAATCTTTCTTTGCTGATGGCCTGTCCGTGAACTTCATGTTGGCTAAGCCTGTGTGACACACTACCCAAGGTAATTCCTTCTCCTATGCCTCTATACATATATATGTATGTATGTATCCACGATGATTAATCTACCTGTTTTGTATCTGTGGTTGAAACCTAGCTGATACTGACAAACACACACATATATTGTTCTATTAAAACCCAAACCGATTGTACTTCAAATTCAGGATGTGTCTGCCTAATTCCCCTAAATGCTCATGGTTGTCCCAAAGACAAGAATTGTGATGGAGAGTTAATTAATAAGAAAATTTTAAAACAACCGAGTTTA